CATTCCTCTTCTACTTGGGATTGGTGTATCTCTCTTTCCGTGTCCCTCTCCTCTCCCTCCATTTCCCATCCATTTCCCCTCCATTTCCCCTCCATTTCCCATCCATTTCCCATCCATTTCCCCTCCCGTCCCCACCTCCCCTGGTCCCCCTTCCCCAACCCTTCCCCCAACCCAGGTTCGTTCCCCCGCCAATGAACTTTGAGCTGCAGTCGACCACTTTGGAGGTGGACTTTCACTCCAAGGGCCGAGCCAGAGCCGAGCAGGTGAGGGTAGCTGACTCAAACAACAGGTGGGGTTGAGCTGGCACAAGGGATACCGCTGGAGAAGAACAGGTGAGGTTCAGCCCCCCCGCCAAGGAACTTTGAGCTGCAGTCGACCACTCTGGAGGTGGACTTTCACTCCAAGGGTCTAGCCAGAGCCGAGCAGGTGAGGGTTGAGTCGACTCTAGAATGATTGTGGGCCAAGCCAGAGCTGAACAGGTAGAGGTAGCTAATTTAAAGAGCATACGAAGCTTGATTTGGCGCAAGAGTGGTTGTGGGAGAAGAAAGGGGTGAGGCTTGCGTCCCCCCGCCAATGAACTTGGAGCAGCAGTCAACCACTCTGGAGACTGGAGGTTAATCCGATCTCCACTGCAAGAGCCGAGCAGGCGAGGGTTTGTTTGAGCCCGTTTACTGTAGAGGCCTCATTTACACATACCTCTGCTGTAGCATTGAAACTCATCTTCCCCCCTAGTTTTTCCCTCCGCTCCATTCTCTCTCAATGGTGCTAACGGTGGGGCAGAAGATCTCCTTTGAGCACCGCAGCACTAACTTCGCCCTCTCTGTCATCCTCCTGGAATCCCTTGCTTGCTCTTCCTCACGAACCCCTCTCCATCCCTCTCCATCCCTCCCTCCCCATTCCCGAGCAGTTGGATGCAGCAGAGCTATCAAAGGACGCGGTAAGCGATTCGCTGGGCAGGTGTTGTCAGAGGGGCAGAAGACCTTCGTTGAGTCGTATCATGTTTCCCTGTGCCATCCCTCACACCATGCCACAGTTGGATGCAGCCGAATTGTCAAAGGACGTGGTGAAGCGGTTCGCAGGGCAGGTGCTGACAGTGGGGCAGAAGATATCCTTTGAGTACCGCGGCACCAATTTCACCCTCTCAGTCATCCTCGTGGAGTTCCCTGCCCCCGAGGGGCAGGGCGGTGCCCGGGCCTTTAATTCCACACAGGGGTTGCTGGTGAAGCAGACGGGGATCATCTACGAGGCCGCTGCTAGCTCAGGCATCAAGGTGGGCTGTTTTGAAGCACGGGGTAAAGATAGGCAGGTAGGCTGGTGCTGATAGCTGTGTTCTCCTCGTGACATTCCCTGCCCCCGAGGGGCAGCGGGGCGCGCAGGCCTTTGTGTCAACGCGAGGGCTGCTGGTGAAGCAGACGGGGATCATATACTACGAGGCCGCTGCTAGGTCGGGCATCAGGGTACGCTTTTTAGGAGCGTTCAATAGGGAGTTTTGGTCCCTGACGGCCAGGGGGGCGTGCGGGCCTTTACTTCCACACAAGGGCTGTTGGTTAAGCAGACGGGGATCATCTACTATGCTACTGCTAGCTCAGGGATCAAGGTCCGCATTTTAGGGAGTTTTTGCCCCTGAGGGGCAGGGGGGTGCACGTACCTTTACTTCCACACGAGGCCTGCTGGTGAAGCAGACGGGGATCATCTACAAGGCCGCTGCTAGCTCATGGATCAAGGTACGCTGCGCCGAGTTGTAGTGGTCTAGCTGGCCTGGTATCAGGCCTTTGTGTCAAGTCACGGGCTGCTGGTGAAGCAGACGTGGTTCATCTACGAGGCTGCTGCTGCTGGCTGCGGCGTCAAGGTGGGCTGGTGGTGGTGATAGTAAAGGTCAAGGCAGGCTGGTGACAAGGTAAGATAAGATGGGCAGGCTAGCATGCATGGCGATCAATCTGTGAGTGCATGGCTTGCTTATTCCCTCCCTGCTGCCATCCGATACTTCATTCCTTTTCGAGGCGCCTCAAAAATGGCAGCAGGGTAAGGTGGGTTGCAGCCTGCTAGCATGCTTGACCATCAATCTGGGTACGTGGCTCTCTTATTCCCTCCGTGCTGCCATCCGATACTTACTTCATTCCGTTTTGAGGCGCCTCAAAAATGCCAGCAGGGTAAGTTGGGCTGCAGCCTGCTAGCATGCTTGACTATCAATCTGGGTGCGTGACTCTCTTATTCCCTCCCTATTGCCACCCGATACTTCATTCATTGCGTATCCTTTTTGCTGTTTTCAGATCATCAATCAGAAGACAGGCGGCGGCAAGGCAGCAGCGCTCTTCAGGCAGAAGGACTTCAACTTTGAGAAGCTCAGCATTGGTGGCCCCGATGCTCACTTTACCCACATCTTCATGTGCACCTTTGCCCCTCCCTCTTCTTCCCTCTCCTTCCCGTCCCTGCCCCTAATTTTCCCGCAGATTGTGAATCAGAAAACGGGCGGCTGCAAAGCAGCGGCACTCTTCAAGCAGAAGGACTTCAACTTTGAGAAGCTCGGCATCGGTGGCCTCGACGCCCAGTTCGCTGATATTTTCGCATGCCCCTCTCTCCCCCTCTTCTTCCCTCTATCGCCCTTCCCTATTCTGCCCCCCTCCCCTGGACTTGTCCAGATTGTGAATCTGAAGACAGGCGGCGGCAAGGCGGCGGCGCTTTTCAAGCAGAAGGACTTCAACTTTGAGAAGCTCGGCATCGGTGGACTTGACGTTCAGTTTGCTGATATTTTCCGCCGAGCCTTCGCCTCCCGCATCTTCCCCCCACACATCATCTCACGGTGAGAAAAGAAAGAATGAGTGACTTTGTTGCTTTGATCCCTTTCTCCTTTCTCCTTTCACCACGACCACCACCTCCAGGGGCTGCTGGCCACCCCGGTGGGAGGTGAGCCCACGGCTGCTGCTGCTGCGGCTGCGATTGCGACAACTGCTGCTGCTCCTAGACACCAGCTCCAACCCCCTCGTCAGAACCATTGTCCCCGTCACCACCACCACCACCACCACCACCACCACCACCAGCGCCACCACCACGTCCTCCCTTGGGGCCACGGTGGCCCCGGCGCTGGCGCGGCTGCGGGTAAGCCGCAGCTGCTGTCTTAGTGGCAGGGGCAGTCGTGGCAACTATGGCGGTGACGTCAGCGTACGTGCACTAGGAGGGAGCACAACTCTGAAAGATAGGGACTGCCGCAACACCGCTCCACTGAGCGATAGTGCGCTGGCAAGTCTCTATCTCAGACAGAGCAGTGAGAAAGGCGGTCAGGGTGAGGTTGGCAGGGTACTGACTAAGGGAGTGGTCGCGGGCAGCGGCTAAGCGGTCAGGCAGGCGCATGGCAATGAGGTACAGGGTAGCGCAGAATGGTGGGGGGAAGGCTGTGAGCTAGGCGGTAGTGCTAGCAGCGCGATAGCTAGTCTCTAGTACACGGAGGTGAGTAGCGAGGTCAGCGACAGTGAGGAAAGTGGAAATACTATGGAAGAGCATGGGGAGGATCAAGCGGCCAACAGAGGCGGAAGCAGGTGTGGAGTAGCGCGCTCAACAACTGCAGCGAGGAAGTCCTTGGCGTTCGCGACAGTGGTGAAGCGCGGACGCTCATACAGGGGAAGTGCATGACTAATGGCAAGCTACGCTACAGCATCGCGAGAATCCCAGTCAGCGCGAGCGAGCGCAGCAGCAGCAAAGGCCTCGCTCTCAGCAGTGGTGGGGTCAGCAGGGAGGGGATCAGTCGTGGAGGGGCGGGGAAGCAAGCCATCAACATGCATAGCCAGGGAGTGCCCATCCTGGCGCTGACCTGTCAGGTGCCGGCGGAGGTCGACAAGCCAGGCGACGAAGTCGATCGCGTGCCTCTCCGCGTGCAGGCAAAGAACGGCGCCCGCCATCGCACAATGTGACAGCGGCACTGCGACGCAGCGGCACGGTGGCTCAGGGTCACGGCGGCTCAGCGGCTCGGCGGCACAACGCCACAGCGGCACGGCGGCTCAGCGGCTCGGCGGTAGGGCGCTGCAGCGGGAAAGCAGGGCAGGAGGCCGAGGTGGGCCAGAGGCGTGCAGGGCGAGAAGGGTCGTCGGAGTGCTAGTGGCCAGGAGGGCGCATCAGGAGCGGGGGAGGTGGCAGGCGGGCGCACAAGGGGGCCGGGTAGGTGCGACGGGCCGGCGAGGCGCGACAACGGTGCGAAGGGCTGGCTAGGGTGCAAGGGGCGGGCTGCTACTCGAGAGGCCAGCGAGGGCGCGAGGGGCCAGCTAGGGCGCGAGGGGCCGACGAGGGCGCGAGGGGCCAGCTAGGGTGCAAGGGGCCGGCGACGGCGGGAGGGGCGGGCTGCTACTCGAGGGGCCATCTAGGGCACAAGGGGCCGGCAAGGGCGCTAGGGGCCAGCGAGGGCGCGAGGGGCCAGCGTGGGCGCGAGGGGCCAACTAGGGCGCAAGGGGCCGACTAGGGCGCAAGGGGCCCGCTAAGGCGCGAGGGGTCAGCTAGGGCGCAAGAGGCTGGCTAGGGCGCAAGGGGCCGACGAGGGCGCGAGGGGCCCGCTAAGGCGCGAGGGGCCGGCTAGGGCGCGAGGGGCCGGTTAGGGCGCGAGGAGGCGGCTACAGCGCGAGGGGCCGGTTACGGCGCGAGGGGCCAGCAAGGGCGCAAGGGGCAGGGCTTATTTTATCAGAGTAAATCACTCTGATTCTCTGAAAATCAGAGTCATTTTTTAAAACCACTCTGATGGTCTTGGGTAAAATTTTGAAAGTATAAGTTTTCTCTTATTTATCAGAGTTGGTCTATGTACCACCCTGAAGAGTTTTCAATGGGGGGATGCTCCTAGATTTTTCCCTGTACTCTCAGTATTCGGCTAAGTCCTCCGACTGCCAGTCACACCCCTCCCATACCCCATGCAATCTGGATAATTTTGGCTAAGCCCTTTGCAACTGGTCACATCCCGCCTACCCGCCGTAAGCTGGAAATTTTCGGCTAAGTCACAACACACTTATACCCCATGCAACCCAGGAACATTCCTCCTTCCCACACCCAACCCAACCTAGCCCAGCTGTGATCAGTGCTGTTTGACTGGCCCTTACCATGAATCACGCTAGTTTTCACATGTAACTTGGCACGGGGTTGACACGTAAACATCGCAGCTGTCGCAACACAACAAAGGCGATTGTTACAGCACATGCGCCAGCCAATCACAGGCGTGTTGTTTCTGTACTTCGCTCACAGGCAGGCAAGATTGGCTGTTGTTTTTTCCCACGCGAAATGCCTGCCAGCGCGAGTTGCAGTGCTAACTGAGGACGCGTTTTGTACCTGATGCGAGCCCCGAGGGAAGAATTTGGGGCATCAAATATAGGTACGGGCGAGATCCCCTAAGCCAGCACTTTGGGTCATCTGGTCCGTCAAACTGGTGCCCCGAAGTCCTGCCTAGGGACTTCCCCGACTATGGAACGCGCCCTGTTGAAGTATTTCGGAGCAGAGCCTATATGATTTTTTTGGGAGAACACAGCCGAGACATCCCAGTTTCCAGCCGACAGTACGGGGCAGATTTTGGCCCAAATCTCTATAAAGCTGCACATTTCAGCGTTCATCCAATACAAGTCTTGGGCACAGAATTGAAGGGGTTGTGTATATGGCACGCGCCTAGAAAAAATGTGTGGTGCGATTTGGCAGTCTTCCGGGATAGCGCACCACGGTGCGAAATAGCCGTGGGGAGTGAATCCTGGGCATTAGAGTTTTTATTTGAGAAGTGTGAAAAAACCCTGACAAATCAGAGTTCGAGCTCCAGGGCACTCTTAAAATCAGAGTTTGGCCAGGAGTCGCTCGTGATAATCAGAGTGGTGAAAAACCTAAGATAAGCCCTCGCGAGGGGCCCGCTAAGGCGCGAGGAGCCGGCGACGGCGCGAGGGGCCGACTAGGGCGCAAGGGGCCCGCTAAGGCGCGAGGAGCCGGCTAGGGCGCGAAGGGCCGGCTAGGGCGCGAGGGGCCGGCTGGGGCGAGAGGGGCCAGCGACGGCACGAGGGGCTGGCGAGGGCGCGAGAGGCGGCTAGGGCGTGAGGGGCTAGCGAGGCGCGGTAGGCTAGGGTGCGGGGCGGAAGCGGGTGGGTGGACCTACCTACTCATGATACCATGTCAGCATGAAAGAATGATGAATACAAGTGGGAACAAGGGAGATATAATGTTCGGGTTGTACCCTTTAAGAACATACCGTAATCCCCCGTACATAACACCCGCCAGAATAGTCACTCCGTGGGTGGTTTATGCGGGACAGAGCTTATGATAGGGTGAATTTAGGAGAGCACCCGCTTTTTGGGGGCTGCATTTTCCATAACACCCTCCTCGTTTTATGCAGCAAAGATTAGAATTTCGTAGTTTTTCAAGCTCAGCTCGATTGAAAAAAAAAAAAAAAAAAAAAAACCAGGATAAAAATGTCAAACATGTGTATTTGTCATGTTTGTATAGACTATATAGGGTCGCGTCTTAGAGGGTACAACACTTAGGTATATCTGTGTGTACTCTCACTCTATCATTATTCACTTCTCCAATTTTGATATGGTATCACGCGTAGGTAGGATCCCCCCCCCCCACCTACCGCTTCCGTTCGCCCCCCCCCCTCCCTAGCCCCGTCGTGCCCCTAGCCCCGTCGCGACCCCCCTAGCCCCGTCGCGCCCCTTCCTGGGCCCCGTAGCGCCCCTCCTGGGCCCCGTCGTGCCCTTCCTGGGCCCCGTCGCGCCCCTCCTAGGCCCCGTAGCGCCCCTCCTGGGCCCCGTAGCGCCCCTCCTGGGACTCGACGCGCCCCTCCCAGGCTCTGTCGCGCCCCTCCAAACCTCCGTAGCGTCCCTTCTGGGACCCGTCGCGCCCCTCCTGGGCCCCGTAGCGCCCCTCCTGGGCCCCGTAGCGCCCGTCCTGGGCCCCATCGCGCCCTTCCTGGGCCCTGTAGCGCCCCTCCTGGGCCCCGTCGCGCCCCTCCTAGGCCCCGTAGCGCCCCTCCTGGGCCCCGTCGCGCCCCTCCAAAGCCCCGTAGCGCCCCTCCTGGGCCTCGTCGTGCCCCTCCTGGGCCCCGTAGCGCCCCTCCTGGGCCGCGTCGAGCCCCTCCTGGGCCCCGTCACTCCTTCAGGCCCCGTCGCCCCCGCCCGGCCCCGTCGCACCAGCCCGGCCCCGTCACGCCTGCCCGGCCCCGCCCCCGTCCCTAGGCCGCGTCGAGAGCGCTACTTCCTTGTGCTTGTCGACGACTTCACTCGTTACACCACAGTCTTTCTCCTGGAGCGCAAGGTCGACGTGCCTGGAGCTCTCATCCCCTGGCTTGTCTCTGCGCGTGTCCACCGCGGTCTCCCTGTCTTGCGTCTTCACTCAGACCGTGGTGGCGAGTTTGCCTCAGGTGTCCTTGTTCGCTTTTGTCGTGCGGAGGGCATCACCCAGACGTTCACCCTACCGGACTCCCCACAGCAGAATGGGGTCACTGAGCGATGCATCGGTTTGGTCATGGAGGTGGCTCGCACCTCCATGATCCATGCCGGTGCACCCCATTTTCTGTGGCCGTTCGCTGTGCGCTACGCTTCTCACCAGCTTAACTTGTGGCCGCACCCTCAGCAGTCGCAGGTTTCGCCGACCCGTCTTTGGACTGGGTCTCCTGGTGACGCGTCTGCGTTCCACGTCTGGGGCTGCCTTGCTCACGTCCGTGCCTCCGGCACGGACAAGCTCACTGCCCGCACCCTTCCGTGCGTCTTCCTCGGTTTTCCCCTTGACGCGTCTGACCGGCACTTTTACCACCCGCCGTCTCACCGCTTCTTTCACTCTCGTGATGTCACCTTTGACGATTCTGTCCCCCGACCCTGCGTCGGTTCCTCCCCGACCGTCTCCTCCTCTTCCCGTCTACGGCCCTGTCTTCCCTCCACCGGACTCGTCCCCTGCCCGTCTCCCCCCTCGTTCCCCTCCTGTGTCCCCTCCTCGGTCTCCTGACCCTACTCCTCCGTCACACGTCTCGTCTCACCGTCCCTCCCGTGCTCGTCCTGCCTCGCCTCTCTTGCGCTCCCACCCTATGTTGCTTCGTTCCCACGCGTCTCGTCCTCCCCTTCTGCCGTCCCCTCCTCCGTCCTCCCTTGTTGTTGCACCCCCCCCGCTGTCTGACTACCTTCGTGCCGCTCGTCCCCTTGTTCCTCGGGTCCTTGCCTCTCTCGTTACCGACCCGTCTGTTCCGGCCTCGTGCCTTGACGCTCTTGTCGCTGCTGTCGCTGACTTCGCCTCTACCCGCCGCCTTGACTACGCCTCCGCTCTGGTCTTTGACCCTGCCTGTCCTCCGTCTGTCGGGGGTGCTCCTGCCCTTGGCAGTGACGTCCTGGAGGACCGCCAGTTCGAGCTTGCTTTCCTGTCCGAGGCTGCTCCCCATCTCTGTTCCATGCTGCTAGTCCCTGAGGGTGACCCAGACGCTTTCGACATCCCGACCCCTCGCACTTACGCTGAGGCGACTTCGGGACCCTGGGCCTCCTAGTGGATAGCTGCCATGGAGCAGGAGATGGCATCTTGGAGATCCACCGGCACCTTCGTCGACGCAGTTCCCCCACCTGGGGTGAACGTAGTCGATGGCCGCTGGCTCTTCAAGGTGAAGCGCCCTCCTGGAGAGCCGCCTGTCTTCAAGGCGAGCTATATGGCTAGAGGCTTCAATCAGCGTGAGGGGGTGGACTTCTTCCAGACCTTCGCTCCGACCCCGAAGATGACTACTCTTCGGGTTCTGTTACACCTAGCTGCTCAGCGTGACTACGAGCTCCACTCCCTCGACTTCTCCACTGCCTTCCTTCAGGGCAGCCTACACGAGCAGGTCTACTTGCGTCGTCCTCAGGGCTTTACTGGCACCTTCCCTCCTGGGACCCAGTGGCTCCTGCGGCGCCCCGTCTACGGCCTGCGCCAGGCTCCCCGTGAGTGGCATGACACTCTCCGTGCTACGCTTGCTGACTTGCAGTTCTTTCCGTCTTCCGCAGACCCTTCCCTCTTCGTTCGTGCTGGCCAGACTCCGTTCTACATCCTTGTTTACGTCGACGACCTGGTCTTTGCCACAGCAGACAGGGACGCACTGGCCTCCGTGAAGGCAGAGCTGCTGAAGAGACACACGTGCACTGACCTTGGAGAACTGCGCCGTTACCTTGGCTTGCAGATCTCCAGGGACAGAGCTACGCGCACCATCACCCAGACTCAGTCACACTTGGTGCGCCAGATCCTTCAGAGGTTCGGCCTTCAGTTCTCTTCCGCACAGCCCACCCCTCTGCCTGTAGACCACAGGCTCTCCGCTCCAGTGTCTGAGGAGTTGGTAGAGCCCAGCGGCCCCTACGCAGAGCTGGTGGGTTGCCTCATGTACCTAATGACTTGCACTCGCCCAGATCTCGCATACCCTCTCAGCATTCTGGCTCGTTTTGTGGCCACAGGCAGACACCGACCGCAGCACTGGTCTGCCGCTAAGAGGGTTCTGCGTTATCTTGCTAGTACATCGGGCATGGGGTTAGTGCTAGGAGGACCCAGGCCAGTGGTCCTTACTGGACACACAGACGCTTCGTGGGCAGACGACGCTGAGACACTCAGGTCTACCCAGGGCTACTGCTTCAGCCTTGGCTCAGGTGCCGTCTCGTGGAGAGCTACCCGCTCCTCGTCTGTTGCCCAGTCCAGCTGTGAGGCTGAGATCTACGCTGGTGCCATGGCGGCACAGGAGCTCCGCTGGCTGACCTTCTTGCTCACTGACTTAGGTGAGCGGCCTAGCTCTGCCCCGGTCCTGTTCGCTGACAACAGGGCCATGATCCTCCTGTGTCAGGTCCCTCGACTCGAGGGCAGAGCAAAGCACATTCAGCTGCGGTACTTCCTCCTGCGTGAGCTACAGCAGCGACGTCAGGCTCGCGTAGTACACTTGGCCTCAGGTGCCAACACGGCTGATATCTTTACGAAGGCGCTTGCGTCTAAAGATCATCAGCGGCACTGTGTACAGCTTGGTCTAGTTCCTGTAGCCTCTCACTTGCTAGGACCTTGACTTTCTACTGTCCTTTATACGTATACTCAGACTGCACTTGTGTCCTCTCCCAGTGGCTGGACTAGTAGTGCCGTCCTGCTCTTGTTCTTGCCTTGTTTGTACTCCTTCTGACTGGTCTCTCAGACCCTTGTCTTAGAGGTTGGACTAGTAGTGCCGCCCTGAGCTGCTTGTTTAGGACATTCCCCTATGCAGTCTAGGGGGTGTGTCAAACATGTGTATTTGTCATGTTTGTATAGACTGTATAGGGTCGCGTCTTAGAGGGTACAACACTTAGGTATATCTGTTGTACTCTCACTCTATCATTATTCACTTCTCCAATTTTGATAAAAAAAAACACTATGTCAACTACCAAGCCCTGAGATATCAACCTTAAATCCCTGGTTAGCTTAATTTCAATGGCTGTTTTTTTCTGTTGTCTATGATTTTCCAGTGTTTGCAAACTGCCCATTGTGACTTATTTCTCAACTGCAGGTCCCTCAAAAGATTTTGTATCATTTGCACTAGCAAATGCCAAGTTATGGCCTGGACCCGAAACCCAAATCAGCCTAAAAAGGCTTATATCTCAGGGTGTGTTAACTACGATTAGCAGCGAAAAAACGGGCAGAAACATCAACACTAGTTGCAGCGCGAAATCGAAATGTCAGCAAAGGTCGAGACTTGGGAGGATTTTGACCGTCGAGGTGGCGGATTCTGTCGAGTGACCCGCTGGGTTACCCTTGAAAAGATTCTCGGGGAAGGGCCACAGGTGCAGAGCCTGGGGGGTTATGGGCGCACTTACCCGCTATTCAACAAGCCCTTTTGACCCAGTGGTTTGTGACAGGGTTTCTGACAGATTCTGTTGTGATTTGACGGTCGAAATCTTCCCGAGCAAAATCCTCTGAGGTCTTGACGGTCGCAGGTGCGGCACGAACCTGGCCCTGACCACAGCGCGCAGTAGGGATTGGCCAACGACGCCTTGTTCGTGAGTTTCGTCTTAGCGCATGCTATACCTCGCTAAGAGTCACTCCGCACATTTGTGAGCACACATTACCAATATGTCGGTGTAACAATTCTCAATATCTACTATTTCCGTCCACCAGACAAACATATTTTTCAAAAATGGCGCACATCCAAAAATGGCTTTTTACATCCCTTCTCTACCCGTTGTCTACATTCAACCTGTTCTATGCAGCTCATAGAACAGCTTGAATGTACGCAACACTGTTCCCACCCCAGCCGCGAAGCAGCCACTAATAAAACAATCAAACATCACCCACTAACGCGCACGCGAATCTACCAGAGCTGGAGCCTTCCGGCGATTGTCCCGTTGCCACGGAACACGATGTACATTCTGGGCTTAGAACGGCGACGGTAACCCGACGAGCTCTGCAGAGCGGTCATAAGCGCTGTGCCGTCAACGCTGCCGTACAGACGGTAACCCGTGCTCCAGCGAACATAACTGGCAACCCACGTCCCGGGCAGATCCTGAACAGTGGTTGGGGTTACCAGAGTATCGCAGGGATCGCCAGTCACAATGCTCTGCGACGTGGGAGCCGAGCTGGTGCCCACGAGAAGAAGCTGATAGGTGAGCGACAGAGAGCCGTTCCTGTAACGGGCACGAGAGAACAGAGGTTGAGTACAGCGAAATTTCGTGAGGATGGTGAGCTGGGGACATGGAGAAAGAAATATTCAATGGGCGATAAGAATTTGAGGCCGGGGGGGGGTCAGTGTTTTGGGGGGAAGAGACATGAAACCCTAAAAGGAGGTTGTAATAGCCGCCAACCTAAAGGTAGAACAGGCCGTAGGTAGTAAAGTCTATTTCCCTGACCGACTCGTTCGGAACGCCAGGGTAGAGCGCGACTTACTGGAACTGATAGTTCTTGATAGCAGCAGACCCGCGGACCCCCCAGACGCGAGGGCAGGCTTTCAGCGACGCTTCGCCCGATGCTGCATCCATGAACAAACGAGAAGAGGAAAGGTCAGAAAACCTCCGAGGGATTCGGAAGAGCCTGAACTCGTCACGCTAGATCTACTTCCATCAGTCTGTGAGAATTCTTTAAGGAGAATTCTAAAGAATGACTCCGTCTGCTTCATCGGTCTGTGAGAAGAATAACTCACCGACAACTGCGGGCCAGCGGTACCTGCCGCCGCGGCCGCCGCCGTATCTGCCACCACGGTCGTCGTCATCATGAGCCTGGACGGCGCAGCCTGCATACACGTGACGTAAGGAGGACAGAGCAGCAGAGGTCAGCTCATTGATTTCGAGGAGAGTGCCACGCTGGTAGTATCTGATGGCAAATGTGGTCGTGGTGCCGTGATTCGAACTCCAGAGTTTACAAAAGCGAAAATCTGAGTCTTCTGAGCCTCAGAGGGATGAGCCCAATCTACTCGCGGTTTGGGGAGCGGCAAGGTGAAGTTTGAGTAATTTAGCTTCTTACAAAGAGCGGCGAGGACGAGGCCGAGGAAGAGAATTGCGGCAGAGGACTTCATCGTGGCCGACGGGATGCGTTGACGGAGAACTTACGACGGGCCCTAAGTGCTGCGCTATTTGGGAGGGAATGAACCAATCAGGATGTTTTTGAATGAGATTGCTTGGATGGATGATCAATGAACGCCGCGTTCGGTGCATTTGAAATAAAATGGGCTCCATGTGCAAGGTGCGCGGAGAGGTGGGGCAGGGAGGGAGGGATGGACGGACGGACGGACGGACGGAACGAGACGAGAGCACGCTGCGCGCGTCAATGACGGCGATAGGCTGGGTGGGCTACAGGAGAAGGTTGCTGGCGGCTTGATCGGGGGAGGTAGGTGGGCTGGAAGGATTCTGGAAGGAAAACATGGCGGCAGGGGTGGGGAAAATTGAGGAACGGTTGTACGTGCAGCTGGTAGGTTGTTGTCCCACACGGCGACAGCAGCTGGCACCACGTGAAGAAACCAGCAGCCGAAATTCCCCAAACCACAACTTCCACCTCTGATTTTTTTTTTGTATTCATTTCAAGGACTGTAGAATGCTACAATGTCCCTTTTGTACAGAATTGTGTGTTTCCTTGTTGAGGTACTGTACTGGTTGGGAAGTTGGGAGTCGCAAAAGGCACTTTGTTTGCGGCTGCGATTGCTGCTACACCTCTTTTACGGAACACCATGATTTAATGACCGCACTGCGCAGGAAAGTATCGGTAGTGCTGCTAACCCCTAGCAGAACGGATTGTAGCGGAGAAGTCAACAGTGATTTTTGTAGGCTTGTTTTTTGTTCTGTGCCGTACAGAGTGTCCTGCATGCGGCTTCATAGCTTGCTTTTGTTGCTCATTTGTGCTTGTGTTTTTGTTGGGCAGGTTCCGCCACTGTTACGAATGATCTGGACAGGAAGGCCATTGAATATAACAGGGGAATACGGCTTCATGGAATGTAACGGCAGCTTGGAGTGTTCCTATATGAAGTGTTCCGTGGAAGAGGTGTATTGTACTGTAGCAGGAATCTTTGCTCGGGTCCGCTGCATGCAGAGATTCGGCCACTGTGATCCAGCGGTTCATGCGGTGTGGCGTGAAATGCAGGTCCCCGATTTTCAAGCAGCAGCCGACCACGCGGTGTGGACAAGACAGTCTGGCCACGTGTTGGGTCCAGAAATAAATGTGTGCGGCTCGTGTCTGGTGTGCGGGAGGTTACACCTCCGTTCTCTATTGTCAGCTCCAGTGTCATGCCGTTTCACCCACTTGAGTGCAATGTCTATACTCAGGTCTATCACACAATACCCATTTTAATACCTTTTCTTGGCTGGATTCGTTTACATCAATTATTGAGGTGTAATAATGAATACATGCACATTTAAAGCGAGCGTACAGACCAAACTCAAGAGTCAAAGGTTTTGAGTCCCCCGACGCACGAAAACTAATGCGAAACAAACACGGTAACCAAATACCAGCAGGAGGGGTGCGATTTTGATTTGGGAAGATTCTGATTGGCTACGCGACTCACCACCAACCCAGCGACAGAACAAGGAAAGCCTGTCCCCCCGCCACACTAAGACCCAAAGCTTTTGCTTTTTACTCTGTACTAAGTAGCCATGGTTCCTTCCCCGCCATTCTCGCTCCCTAACACAACGCTTACCTCCTATTTCGTTATTCACGGGAAAGGTGCGGCTTATTAGTAACGTTTACATGTTCCCGTAACCCTGTGGGCGACAGCTACCTGCCGCATCTCCGTTACTTTATGCGACCATTGATTTCGTACCTAATCGCCCACTTCACTGCATGCCACACTATCATTTTAGGGCGCGCCACGCGAAGACCTTATTAGCAAGCTCTAATGCATTTCCTCGCCGGTGCGCCCAAGTACCTCGCCCGTTGCCTCGCTTCCCACTCCCCGCTCCTCACAGCAGCTGCGAGAGCGCTGCCCCGCTTTCCCACTCTTCCGCATTCCCTGTTTTCCGCCCCGCCCACTACATCTGCCTGCATTCGCCTCCCCGATTTCCCGCACTCAAGCTGCCACTGCTTTTCCGCTTTCCGCCCAATTCGCTAGCCCGCGTTCCCGCGGTTCCGCTTTCCGATTTCCCGCGTCCCGCTTCCCCCCAGCACCCATTTTCCCCTCCCTTTCCCATCCTCGTCGGCCATCCCATGTCTTCCCGTCGCCAATCCCCCCCTTCCTATCCCCACGCCCTTCCCTTTGCGTAGCTCATTGGTCCATTCCCTCACTCAAGCTCTTGCCTTGTCCTCCCGCTCCTCCCCTGTTATCCCTCCCAGCATTCCCACCATATCCCTATATCCCCTATTTTCCTCACACTGCCCTTCTCTCTCTCCCGCGTTCCGCCCATCTCTCTCTTCGCTGCAGCCCACCTCACTCTCCCCCGCTCTGCGCACCTCTCTTCCCCTCCCACTGGCAACCTCTCTCACGCCTACTCAATGTCATAATTCCTCCAACTCCCTTCCCTCGTTACCCTTGCTCTGCCCACCTCTGCCTCCCCAGCTCTTCCGAAGGTGGGCTCTGGCGGGGGGGAAGGTGGGCTCTGGTGGGCGGGGAGGTGGGTTCTGGTTGGGGGTGAGGTGGGTTCTGGTGGGGGAGAGGTGGGCTCTGGTGGGGGGGAGGTGGGCTCTGGTTTGGGGGGGGGGGAGGGGGGGGGGGCATTTCGAAGCTGGGGAGTGGGCTCGCCGCCCGCTTTCTCCTCTCTCTGAAGCGGTCCTTGTATTCATGCCCAAACCTGAGTACAGGGCTCGGCTCTTCAGGGGCTTGACAAACCATGCATCATAACCCTCCTCTGCCCCGCTAGCATAAGGTACGTCCACTCCCGCTTCCAGGACTACGAAGCAGGGTCTAGGCACTCCTCTCCCATTCACCCGTCTCCCTTGCTCCCCTCTCCCGTTCTCCCCTCTCCCATGCTCCCCTCTCCCGTTCTCCCCTCTCCCATGCTCCCCTCTCCCGTACTCCCGTCTCCCTTGCCCTCTCCCTGGGTAGGGGGGATCCGGGCTCTCTTTGGGGGTGGGAGGAGGGATATGGGAGGGGGGGAAGCAGGGCTATGAGAGGGGGGGAAGCAGGGCTATGGGAGGGGGGGAAGCAGGGCTATGAGAGGGGGGGAAAGCAGGGCTATGGGAGGGGGGGAAGCAGGGCTATGGGAGGGGGGAAAGCAGGGCTATGGGAAGGGGGGAAGCAGGGCTATGGGAGGTGGGGAAGCAGGGCTTTTGGAGGGGGGGAAGCAGGGCTATGGGAGGGGGGGAAGCAGGGCTATGCGAGGGGGGGAAGCAGGGCTATGGGAGGGGGGGAAGCAGGGCTATGGGAGGTGGGGAAGCAGGGCTTTTGGAGGGGGGGAAGCAGGGCTATGGGAGGGGGGGGAGCAGGGCTATGGGAGGGGGGGAAGCAGGGCTATGGGAGGTGGGGAAGCAGGGCTTTTGGAAGGGGGGAAGCAGGGCTATGGGAGGGGGTGAAGCAGGGCTATGGGAGGGGGGGAAGCAGGGCTTTTGGAGGGGGGGAAGCAGGGCTATGGGAGGGGGGGAAGCAGGGCTATGGGAGGGGGGGAAGCAAGGCTATGGGAGGGGGGTAAGCAGGGCTATGGGAGGTGGAGAAGCAGGGCTATGGGAAGAGGGAAAGCAGGGCTATGGGAGATGGGGAAGTAGGGCTATGGGAGGGGGGGAACGGGGGGTATAGATGGGAGGCATTGGGGCTCACTCTTTTCCCCTCTTCCCCCCCCACACCCGTTCTCTCTCTCCCTCTTTCTTTCGCACTCTCTTTCGCGCCTCGCACCCGTTCCCCCTCCTCCCCGCGCTCCCTCACCGTCCCTCCTGCTCTGTCCCTCCCTCTCTCGCGCGCTCTTTCGCTCGCCCCCTCTCTCTCTTCCTTCATTTCTCCCACTCCACTCTCTCATTCTCTCTCTCTCTTTCTCTCTTGTTCTCCCATTCTCCCTCACTCTCCATCCATTGCCTGCCCCTTTCATTCTGGATCATTTATTGCCTTGGACATTCACCCCCCCCCCCTCCCCCCCCCTCTCCTACAGCTTGCTCCCATTCTCACCTCCTACTTCCATCCTGTAGGTTGCAAGGTGCGTGGAAAAGGAGGTGAATAATGCCTATGCTAGAGGCCCCTGGCTGATCCTAGCTAGACTGTTAGGGGTTTCCTAGGTTGTGCTGCATTGTGTGTCTTGTTCTTGCCTAAGAAAAAATGGCGCTCACGACCGCTTGCTTGCTTATGTTTCAAAACCAAACTTTGCACTCAGTGGGAACTGGATCCCTGCTATTTTTAATGTGCTTCATTGTGTAATTATCGTCTCTAACCTGTGTAAAAGTAGATGCGTTGTGCTAATTTCTTCGTTTTTTGTTTTTTGTTTTGTTGAATACATGAGCCCCACCAACACAGCTCAGTGCTTTTCTCGGTAAAAGATGTTTACTGTTGATTTCTGTCAGAACAGTCCTTTGCGACTTCGACGAGCAGCGTCGCCCGCTGTACCCTTACGACCTTGCCAGTTTTGGCGAGACCATTTCAGTCGTCACGAGGCCCCTCGCGTTTCGCGTGGGGCCCGCCCCCATTTTTGCGGCACTTGTGCCCCTCGCAAAGTCTTTGAATCTTGAGTTTGGTCTGTCCGCTCGCTATAATATCTGTTTTTTAATTTCTTCGTGCATTGCGGCAGAATTCGTCCATTGCTCCATGCCATCATTTGCTTTCAAGGCTTCCCTACACTAGTTTTATGCATTTTTTTTCTAATTCATGATGGATTGGATGGTCTTGTGGTTAATATTGCCAACAATTTAATTCAATGGCGGAAATGGAAATCTACCCCAAATGTAGAAACTATATAATCTCCAATACGCCATCGTTCACTGTAGGAAGGCACAGCAGTAATACTATGTGCGCCAAAGTTCCCTCGTCCGCGATATTTCCTAGGGATGAGCCCTCGAATTCCATGCCGTCTGATCCAAGGTCTAGGTTGCCTGTCAGCATCTCATGGCAGTTCCTTCTAAATCCTGATTTCCGAGCTTCTCTTGCTTGCGTTGGACCTTCGACTACGTCCAGTGCTAGGTGAGAAGTCGAGCGTAGCAGTGCGAGAAGTCCCAGGCGAACGGAACACAGTGAGCCGGCTTAGGCGAGCATTGAATCAAGCGAGCCGGATCAGGCGAACGAAACTTAGCGAGGCGTCTTAGGCGCACGGGACTTAGTCGCCATGTGGTCTCGAGGCGGTGCTTCCGTCGCGCCGGTGGGAAAGCCGGCAGCACACGGCGCGGGAGCTCCTATGGCTCCTGGAGCGGTCCCCGAGAGCCTCAAAGTCGTCAACTGCCCGTCGCCAGATCTCGCGTTGACGAACTTCGCATTCCTTTCGCGAGCGGAGCTGCCGTTCTTCGCAGCGTACCAAGGGAGCTCGACTGGATTCATAGAGATCGGGGGGAACGTCCTCACTGTTGCATATCCTCTTATTCGTCCCTTTCTCTCAGCCTTAGCCTACTTCTGCCTCTCTCCTTCTACCGCACATGTCGCTTGTAGTATTTCTGCTTTTCATGCCTCACCTATAGCTGCCAGCTGGCAGTCTCGACCTGATTTTTTATCGTTAATTCTTCAAGTTTTGAGGCGCCTCAAAAGTCGTCTCTTTATCCGCGGTTTCAAGTTGTTCTTCCCGTGCTGATTTTGAGGCGCCTCAAAATTTAGTTTTGTTTTCAGGCGCCTCAAAGCTGATCCTTGTAGAGTCAAGAGCCAGGCGATTCATCTTCCCTTTGAACCGGTTCTCCTTAACTCCGAACCTCTGCTGTCTGTTTTTTCGTCGCTCCTCTCTTCGACATCGGTTCGTTTCGGCTGATTCCGACCCATCACAGCCCACGATGGAGTGGAGCCGGGAGGAGTGGCTCTCAACGCCGTGCAGCGCCGCAACGCACGGGTGTCAGCTGGAGACCGGGTCCCTGTGGGGAGGTGAGTAAGGAAGGCGAGTAAGGAAGGCGAATGCCGGTGGGGAGGTGAGGAGAGGATCTTTGTGAGGAAAGCAGGGTCCTGGTGGGGAGGTGAGGAACGGGCGAATTCCTCGAAGGGTGGTTTCCGTTCTCCCCATTGCTTTTGAGGCGCCTCAAAAATTGCTTTTTCTTTGCAGTTTGGTTTGTAGTCACTGCATGCATGCTGAACTCCGTTCAGTCAACTCTGAAGGTGGTTCTTGAGTTGCCACATTTTTTGAGGCTCCTCAAAAATCGTCTCAGTCAACTCTGAAGGTGGTTCTTGAGTTACCACAATTTTTGAGGCGCCTCAAAAATCGTCTCAGTCAACTCTGAAGGTGGTTCTTGAGTTACCACAATTTTTGAGGTGCCTCAAAAATCGTCTCAGTCAACTCTGAAGGTGGTTCTTGAGTTACCACAATTTTTGAGGCGCCTCAAAAATCGTCTCAGTCAACTCTGAAGGTGGTTCTTGAGTTACCACACTTCTCGGGTCTCTGCAGGCGACATGGTCCCTTCCGCTTCCTTGTCTATTTTTTAGGCGCCTCAAAAATAGACTTCTCTGCAGGCGACATGGTCCCTCCAGGGATTGGCGTGTCTCCCAGGGATTGGCGTGTCTCTCTGTCCGTATCCCTCTCCTCTCCCTCCATTTCCCCTCCATTCCCCCTCCATTTCCCCTCCATTTCCTCTCCATTTCCCCTCCCTTTCCCCTCCATTTCCCCTCCATTTCCCCTCCATTTCCCCTCCATTTCCCCTCCCTTTCCCCTCCCTTTCCCCTCCCGTCCCCACTTCCCCTGGTCCCCCTTCCCCAACCCTTCCCCCAACCCAGGTTCGTCCCCCCGCCAATGAACTTTGAGCTGCAGTCAATCACTCTGGAGGTGGACTTTCACTCCAAGGGCCGAGCCAGAGCCGAGCAGGTGAGGGTAGCTGACTCAAACAACAGGTGGGGTTGAGCTGGCACAAGGGATACCGCTGGAGAAGAACAGGTGAGGTTCAGCCCCCCCGCCAATGAACTTTGAGCTGCAGTCGACCACTCTGGAGGTGGAATTTCACTCCAAGGGTCGAGCCAGAGCCAAGCAGGTGAGGATTGAATCGACTCGAGAATGACTGTGGGCCGAGCCAGAGCTGAACAGGTAGAGGTAGCTGATTTAAAGAGCTGAACAGGTAGAGGTAGCTGATTTAAAGAGCTGAACAGGTAGAGGTAGCTGATTTAAAGAGCATAGGAGGGTTGATTTGACGCAAGAGTGGTTGTTGGAGAAGAAAGGGGGGAGGCTTGCATCCCCCCGCCAATGAACTTGGAGCTGCAGTCAACCACTCCGAGACTGGAGGTTAATTTTTGAGGCGCCTCAAAACTTGGAGCTGCAGTCAACCACTCCGAGACTGGAGGTTAATTTTTGAGGCGCCTTAAAACTTGGAGCTGCAGTCAACCACTCTGAGACTAGTGGTCAACCTGATCTCCAATCCAAGGGCCGATCAGGCGAGAGTATGCTTGAGTCCAGTTACTGTAGGTAGAGGCCTCACCTCATTTACACATGGCCTCTACCGTAGCATTGAAACTCATTTTCCCTCCTCCCAATTCTCTCTCCATGCCGGTGCTGGCGGGGGGGCAGAAGATCTCCTTTGAGTACCGCGGCACCAACTTCACCCTCTCTGTCATCCTCCTGGAATCCCCTGCTCGCTCTTCCTCACGAACCCCTCTCCATCCCTCTCCATCCATCTCCATCCCTCCCTCCCCATCCCCGTGCTGTTGGATGCAGCAGAGCTATCAAAGGACGTGGTGAAGCGGTTCGCAGGGCAGGTGCTGCCGGAGGGGCAGAAGACCTTCTTTGAGTTCTGTCATGTTTCCGTGTGCCATCCCTCACACCATGCGACAGCTGGATGCAGCCCAAGTGTTAAAGAACGTGGTGAAGCGCTTCTCAGGGCAGGTGCTGACAGTGGGGCAAAAGACTTCCTCTGTGTGTAACACCTTCCTTCACGCATCTGTCGACTGTAACACACCTTCCGTCCTCCCTCCCCATTTCCTCACAGCTGGATGCAGCCGAGCTCTCAAAGGACGTGGTGAAGCGGTTCGCAGGGCAGGTGCTGACGGTGGGGCAGAAGATCTCCTTCGAGTACCGCGGCACCAACTTCACCCTCTCAGTCATCCTCGTGGAGTTCCCCGCCCCCGAGGGGCAGAGCGGTGCCCGGGCCTTTGTGTCCACGCGAGGGCTGTTGGTGAAGCAGACGGGGATCATCTACGAGGCCGCTGCTAGCTCGGGCATCAAGGTGGGCTTCTGGGACATCTCGAAAACATTTTCCCGCCCCCAAGGGATAGGGGGGGGTGCGGGCCTTAGCTGTCATTCGAGGGCTGCTGGTGAAGCAGTCTGGAATAATTTATGAGGCCGCTGCTGGGTTGGGCATCAAGGTGAGTTGCTGGTGGTAGGTAGGTGGAAGGATGAAGATGGGTTGGTAGTAGCTGGCACTCATTCAAGAACCACAGGTGCTGACGGTAAGGCAGAAGATCTCCTTTGAGTATTGTGGCACCAACTTCACCCTCTCAGTCATCCTCGTGGAGTTCCCCGCGCCCGAGGGGCAGGGCAGTGCCCGGGCCTTTTCTCTCGGAACGTAAATCAGAAGACAGGCGGTGGCAAGGCGGCAGCGCTCTTCAAGCAGAAGGACTTCAACTTTGAGAAGCTCGGCATCGGCGGCCTGACTTGGCACTCAGACTACTCACATTTTCCCATGTACCTGCCTTTACCCTTGCCCCCTTTCCTCCTCTCCGATCCCTCCCTCCCTCTATCAGATTGTCAACCAGAAGACAGGTGGCGGCAAGGCGGCGGCTCTCTTCAAGCAGAAGGACTTCAACTTTGAGAAGCTCGGCATCGGTGGACTTGACGCCCAGTTTGCTGATATTTTCCGCCGAGCCTTCGCCTCCCGCGTCTTCCCCCCCCACATCATCTCACGGTGAGAGAAGAAAAACCGAGTGACTTCGTTGCGCCGATTCCTCATTTCCCCCCTGCTTTTGAGTCGACTCCCCCCTCGACCCCATTCCTTTCTCTCTGTTGTCTCTTTGTTACTCGTTCTCCGTTTTCCGTTTTTCAGTGCTGTGTTCGTTCTCTTCGTTTGCCCTCTCGCCACCCCTACGCCTCTCTTACTATTCTTTGACCTGTTCATCAATACTCGAACACTCCCCTCCCCCCCCTTCCCTCCCCCCTCAGCCTCGGCATCTCCCATGTGAAGGGCATGCTGCTGCACGGCCCCCCTGTCCTTCCCTCATTTCACTCTCTGAAAATCTTTCCCCTTTCTCCCCCTCTCCCCCTTCAGCCTGGGCATCACCCACGTGAAGGGCATGCTACTGCACAGCCCTCTTGGCTTTTCTTCATTGCACTCTCTAAGCTTCGTGCCCATTCCCCCCCCTCTCCCCTCCTCCTCTCAGCCTCGGCATCACCCACGTGAAGGGCATGCTACTGCACGGCCCCCCTGGCACGGGCAAGACGCTGATCGCACGGCAGATCGGCAAGCTGCTCAACGGCATGGAGCCCAAGGTAAGGGCGGGGGAGGAGTGGCAGGTAGTGCAGGTGGTGCAGGTGTGACGTGTGGGGCATGCAGATGAGAGCATTGAGGCTGTCCTCTCCCCCCCCCTGGCATGGGCAAGACGCTGATCGCGCGGCAGATTGGCAAGCTGGTCAACGGCATGGAGCCCAAGGTAAGAGGGGAGGCAGGAGTGGGAGGAGTGGCGTGTGGGGAATGTGAGACCCTGCTTGCGGCAAAGTGTGTGTGTTGGCGAACGCTGAGGCTACAAGAGCCAAGAAGCAAACAAGTAGAACCCTGTGCTCCTCTTTCAATGCGTCAGACTCCCTTTTTCCCCTTTCGACTCCCCTCATGTGGGTGCAGCACAGAAGAACCTTTTCATTCCTCAATCTGTTCCGTTCCGTGCCTGTTTCCTTCTCCTGTTACAGGAGAACGGCGCACCAGGTTGTGAACGGCCCTGAGATCCTGGACAAGTATGTGGGAGCGGCAGAGAAGAACATCTGCTAACTGTTTGCTGATGCTGAGAAGGACACCTCTCTACCCCACCTCCTCCCTCCTTCCCCACCCCCTTCCCCCCGCTACAACTTTTGTTTTGGCCAACCAGGTGGTGAACGGCCCTGAGATCCTGGACAAGTACGTGGGAGCGGCAGAGAAGAACATCCGCGATCTGTTTGCCGATGCTGAGAAGGACCAGAAGGAGCACGGCGACGAGAGCGACCTCCACATCATCATCTTCGATGAGATTGATGCCATTTGCAAGGCGAGTTTTGAATGAAGGGGGGGTTGGAAAGTGGCTTGCCATCCTCGTTTTAGTTATGGGGACGAGAGCAACCTCCGCGTGATCATGTTCGATGAGATCCACACCGTCTGCAAGGTGAGGAGCAACCCGCAAGGTGAGAAGATCTGTTTGCCGATGCTGAGAAAAACCAGAAGGAGCACGGGGGGATGAGAGCAACCTCGACCATGTGATCATCTTCGATGAGATCCACACCATCTGCAAGGCGCGAATTGAATTCAAACGGAAAGGATGGCGTTTGACCTGTTTTGGTGCGCAGTGACCAATCAGTGGGCTTGGCATGGCGATGAATCTGGCCTCCCCATCGCTGTCTTTGACGAGGCGCCTCAAAAAACCATGCGTGAGGAGTCTATTTTTGAGGCGCCTCAAAAATAAGTGGGCTTGGCATGGCGATGAATTTGGCCTCCCCATCTCCGACGAGATTGATTGATGCCATCGGTAAGGCGAGGTTGAAACGGTAGCTGATTTTTTAGTTGACTAAAAAATCACCAATGAAAGTGGCCTCCCGATCTCTGACTCTGACGAGATTGATTGATGCCATCTGTGAGGCGAGGTTGAAACGGAGAGAGGACGGAATCTGGATTCTGGCACGAGATGAGAGAGCTTATGAGTCGACTAATAAACGTGCGTCAGGTTGCCCAGGTGCATTTTGAGTAGACACTCAATACGCCTGTCGCCCTGATGTTGAAACGGGGCGATTTTTTAGGCGCCTCAAAACGGGGAGAGGATGGAGTTTGGCGTGAGAGCGCACTAGCCATTGGGATGAGAGTGGCCTCCTCCTCATCATCTCACATTGCTTTTGAGTCGACTCAAAAGAGAGGATGGAGTTTGGCGTGAGAGCGAACTGGCCATTGGGATGAGAGTGACCTCCTCCTCATCATCTCGCATTGATAGCTGCACTATTCACTGCTCTGTCCATTCCAGCCTCTTCTTATTTCTTGCACTCCTTCTGAAAGTGTCCTTACCTCTCCGTACATTCCCTTTCCCCCTTTTGGCCTGCTCTCCCCCCATCAGAGCCGAGGGTCGGTTCGCGATGGCACAGGCGTGCACGACAGCATAGTCAACCAGCTCCTTACCAAGGTGGGTTGGCTTGGGATTTCTTCCTCCTCTCGTCCTCTCTCGCCCATCCTTAGCATCGTACCCCTTCCCTTGCCTCAGCTCGGAAGTGCACGACAGCATAGGGCAGCCAGCAGCATACCAAGGTTCGTGCTCTTCACTGACCTCTCTCGCCTCCTCTCTTTCCCTCTTCTCCCCCCCCCCCCCTCCCTCTCTCCCCTTCCTTACCTCCTCCTTCTAATCTCCCTATTTCGTCCGCCTCCTGTCCTTCTGTCTCCCTTCCGTTCCGTCCTCACCCCCCCAGACCAGACATCCGTTTTTGCCTTGTTTCTAATTAAAGCCAACCTTTTTGTCCCATTCCCCTCTTCCCCTCCCCCCTCCTCCTTTTCCCTCACCGCACTTACAGATTGACGGAGTGGAGTCACTTAACAACATCTTGCTAATCGGCATGACTAACCGGAAAGACATGCTCGATGAAGCCTTGCTCAGGTGCAGTGCGGTGCAGTGTGGTGTAATGGAGTACGGAGCAGGCTCAGGGGGGTGCGGTATGGTGTGTGTGTGTGAGTCACAGAACGTTTTCCTTTCCAGCTGAGGCGCTGCTTTGGTTCTGTGCGGTTACATGCGGTGCAGTGTGAGTGATACAGTGCTCTGCAATATGGTGCGCCCTCCCACATCTCCCCCAATCTCTCCCCCAACCCTCCCCCGTCCCATCCCCACCAGACCTGGTCACCTGGAGGTGCAGATCGAAATAGGGTTACCAGACAAGACCAGGTCTAGTGAAGTGAAAATCCTGGCCATCCATTCATCAGAGATCAATGGTTCTGGACCGCTGATCGCCTCCCTCCCCCCTCCCCCTTCCCTCCTCCTTTCCCATCCCCACCAGACCTGGTCGCCTGGAGGTGCAGATCGAAATAGGGTTACCAGACGAGGAGGGGCGAGTGAAGATCCTGGCCATCCATTCCAACAAGATGCGCGAGAACTCCTTCATGGGTGCTGACGTGGACCTCAACAACTTAGGTAATGCTGACATGCACATGCAGGCTATTGTGTGAACTCCTTCATGGGTGCTGACGTGGACCTGAATAGCTTAGGTAAGGCTGACAGGCAGGCTTTTGTTTAAACTCCTTCTGGAGTGCTGACGTGTATCTCAACAGCCTAGGTAAGGCAAAAAGACATGTCATTGTTTAGAATGCACTGGCTTGCGTTTTGCAGGCATGGTAAGTAGCGGCTCCACATTTTTACATGGAGACGGAATTCCTTCATGGGTGCTGACGTGGACCTCAACAGCTTGGGCAAGTCAATGTTACCAGGTGAACCTGCACCAGGCCGCTGTTTAAAGAGTAGTGCCTTACATTCTGCCGGTTGTGGACAGGACAGAGTCACAGAGTAAGTAGGGGCTGCAATTGTTCATCCCCATCCCCCCTTACTCCGCCCAGCCACCCGCTCCAAGAACTTCAGTGGAGCAGAACTAGAGGGCCTAGTGATGAGTGCAGTCTCCTTTGCTCTCTCGCGGCAGCTGGACCCCGCCGACCTCACCAAGGCGGTGGATGAGGACAACATCCGAGTCACCATGGTTGACTTCCAACAGGGCATTTTTTGAGGCGCCTAAAAAAAAAGGCGCCTCAAAAATCGTCTCAACATGCGAGTCACCATGGTCGACTTCCAACAGGGCACTTCACCCCCCCCCCCCTTTTGTCCTGTCTCCTTCTCCCTCTCACTCCCCCTCCCCCTGCTAACACCCATCAACCCCCTTCTCTCCAGTCGCCCGCACCAAGAACTTCAGTGGAGCAGAGCTGGAGGGCCTGGTCAAGAGTGCGGTCTCCTTCGCCCTTTCAAGGCAGACGGACCCCGCCGACCTCACCAAGGCGGTGGATGAGGACAACATCCGAGCACCAAGGCCCTTGGCTTGACCTTCTCTCTCTGACTCACTTCCCTTCCACCGTTAACACCAATCACCCCCCCTACCTCCAGCCGCACGCACGAAGAACTTCAGTGGGGCGGAGCTGGAGGGTCTGGTCAAGAGTGCGGTCTCCTTTGCTCTTTCGAGGCAGACGGACCCCGCCGACCTCACCAAGGCGGTGGATGAGGACAACATCCGAGTCACCATGGTGGATTTCGAGGAGGCTCTTAAGGAGGTTCGACCCGCGTATGGCGCCAACACAGAACAGCTCAACATGTATCGGTGAGTCCCTCGCTCCCGTTTTCTGGCCTTGGCTCTCTCTCTCCTTCTCGCTCTCTCTGGCCTTGGCTCTCTCTCTCCTTCTCGCTCTCTGGCCTTGGCTCTCTCTCTCCTTCTCACTCTCTCTGGCCTTGGCTCTCTCTCTCCTTCTCGCTCTCTCTGGCCTTGGCTCTCTCTCTCCTTCTCGCTCTCTCTGGCCTTGGTCCCTTGGAGGCCGACTCCGACCTCACCAAGGCGGTGGATGAGGTCAACATCCGAGTCACCATGGTGGTTTTCGAAGAAGCCCTCAAGGAGGTGCGGCCAGCGTATGGGGCAAACACAGAGCAGCTCAACATGTACCGGTGAGTTGCTCCCTTTCCCTTTGCCAAAAGGCGAGGCGACTACATACGTCACTCAGCAACCAGCCTATTCTCAGCTGCCAAGCGCCAGGTGGTGCAAGTGAGGAGCACCTATCAGAAACCCAACCTCTTCTCTCCCCCCCCCTTCCCCCCCTCCCCCTTCCTTCTCTCCCCCCCCTTCCCCCCCTCCCCCGTCCTTCTCTCCCCCCCCTTCCCCCCCTCCCTCGTCCCATTCTCCTGCAGGCTGAACGGCATGCTCCAGTCGTTGACAGCCCACCATCACATCCTGTCAATGGCCAAGCGCCAGGTGGTGCAAGTGCGGAGCAGCGAACGGACACCTAACCTCCCTCCCCTCCCCTTTTCCCATGCCTCCAATCCTCCCCCCATCGCCCTGCAGGCTGAACGGCATGCTCCAGTCGTTGACAGCCCACCATCACATCCTCTCGACCGCCAAGCGCCAGGTGGTGCAAGTGCGGAGCAGCGAGCGGACTCCACTGCTGACGTGCCTGCTGGAGGGGTCGCCAGGGAGGTGAGTTTTTATGGGGGGAGCTCGAAACGACTACATATTGCACTCACACTCACACTCACACTCACTGCAAACCCTATAATCACCGCTTCTGACATGCCTGCTGGAGGGGTCGCCAGGGAGGTGAGTGTGGGGGGAACACGTGCCCCAACTCGCCACACTTATTCCTCCAGATGCCACCCCATACGAGCAGATGCCACCCCATACGAGCAGATGCCACCCCATACGAGCAGATGCCACCCCATACGAGCAGATGCCACCCCATACGAGCAGATGCCACCCCATACGAGCAGATGCCACCCCATAAGAGCAGATGCCACCCCATACGAGCAGATGCCACCCCATACGAGCAGATGCCACCCCATACGAGCAGATGCCACCCCATACGAGCAGATGCCACCCCATACGAGCAGATGCCACCCCATACGAGCAGATGCCACCCCATACGAGCAGATGCCACCCCATACGAGCAGATGCCACCCCATACGAGCAGATGCCACCCCATACGAGCAGATGCCACCCCATACGAGCAGATGCCACCCCATACGAGCAGATGCCACCCCATACGAGCAGATGCCACCCCATACGAGCAGATGCCACCCCATACGAGCAGATGCCACCCCATACGAGCAGATGCCACCCCATACGAGCAGATGCCACCCCATACGAGCAGATGCCACCCCATACGAGCAGATGCCACCCCATACGAGCAGATGCCACCCCATACGAGCAGATGCCACCCCATACGAGCAGATGCCACCCCATACGAGCAGATGCCACCCCATACGAGCAGATGCCACCCCATACGAGCAGATGCCACCCCATACGAGCAGATGCCACCCCATACGAGCAGATGCCACCCCATACGAGCAGATGCCACCCCATACGAGCAGATGCCACCCCATACGAGCAGATGCCACCCCATACGAGCAGATGCCACCCCATACGAGCAGATGCCACCCCATACGAGCAGATGCCACCCCATACGAGCAGATGCCACCCCATACGAGCAGATGCCACCCCATACGAGCAGATGCCACCCCATACGAGCAGATGCCACCCCATACGAGCAGATGCCACCCCATACGAGCAGATGCCACCCCATACGAGCAGATGCCACCCCATACGAGCAGATGCCACCCCATACGAGCAGATGCCACCCCATACGAGCAGATGCCACCCCATACGAGCAGATGCCACCCCATACGAGCAGCGAGCGGACACCGCTGCTGGCATGCCTGCTGGAGGGGTCGCCTCGCCAGGGAGGTGAGTTTGAGGGCCTTAGGTGGCAAGGAGGTGGCGACAGTGAGAGTGGAGAGAGAAGGGAGAGAATTGTGAGAGCAGTGTGAGAGCAGTGTGAGCAGGGGGAGCTGCCCATATATATTACCCCTGCTTTCCCCATTCATTTTCCCTCCCGCCTTTTCTGTTGCTCTGTTAGGCGCCTCAAAAGCACTCCTTCCTCCTGCCTTTCCTGTTTCCGTTTTGAGCTGGGCGATGGTTGCAGCTACAGCTGTTTCCTTCTCAATGGCTTCCTCCTTCCTTTTCCGTTGCCAATTGCAGTGGGAAGGAAGGAAGACGGCTCTAGCTGCCACCATCGTCATCTATTCTCCCTCCTCTGGCCAGAGGTGGATGACAATGCTCACATGGCTCATGTCTCTTTGCCATCCTTCATCCTCCCGTTTCTGTTGCCAATTGCAGTGGGAAGACTGCTCTAGCTGCAACCATCGCCATGGAAAGTGGTTTCCCCTTTGTCAAGATGGTACGTGCTTGCATGTTGCCCTTGTGCAAGATGCCACCCATTACCCCATCCTCGTGCCCACTACCCCATCACCCTGCCCTCTTTTCTTCACTAGAATCACATCCCTCAGTGTCATCCCGTTCCCCTTCACCTTGAAATTCGTTATGGACCCATCCAGTCACCTGCTCTCTATCCGCCTCTTCCCCATTCTCCTCTCCCCCCCCCCCCCACCCCCCCCCCCCTTCCCTTGTATTCCATTATTCTCCTGTCTTCATCCCTCCCGTCGTTTTCCGGCCAATCAGGTATCAGCCGAGACAATGGTCGGCATGTCGGAACCGTCCAAGTGCTCAGCCATTGCCAAGGTGAGGACTTAAGGAGTGGTTTACCTAACTTATGTGAAGCTGGTTTTCTTGGGTACTTGGACAATGAATCGAGCAATCAGATATGAGCAGAGGCGATGGTGGGCATGTCGGAACTGTCCAAGTGCTCAGCCATTGCCAACGTGAGGTGCTAAATGGAGTTGTTGGTGCTACTGGTTTTGATGCGCCAAATGAAGTTGTTGCTGATGGTACTGCCAATGCGTTGTGCTGCTGAGTGCCATACGGCCAGGGATAAGGAGTTTTTTCTCTCAGGACGCCATACAAGAAAGTCGACACCCATCAGGGTACGGTACTTGTAGGCGTTCAGACCTGATGGGTTTCGACTTTCGCATCCCCTTCAGGTGTTTGACAACGCCTACAAGTCCGCATTCAGCATCGTCATCTTGGACGACATGGAGTGGAGCACCTCTTCGAGTGCGTCAGCATGGGCCAATGGGCTGTGCTGCATGCTCGTTCCCCCATACGCTGCCCATCCATCCATCCCTCCCCCCCCGATCATCCCACCCACCACCCCCAACCCCTTCCCCATCAGGTGTTTGACGACGCCTACAAGTCCGCCTTCAGCATCGTCATCCTCGACGACATAGAGCGCCTCTTCGAGTACGTCAGCATCGGCCCGCGCTTCTCCAACCTCGTGCTGCAGTCGCTGCTCGTCCTTGTCAAGAGGCTCCCCCCTGAGGTAAGAAGCACCTCCCCCTTCAGTGATAAGGCCCCCAACACCTTCCCCCAGCTGCCGCTTCTCCAACCTCATGCTGCAGTCTCTGCTGGTCCTCGTCAAGAGGCTCCCCCCTGAGGTGAGTGGAAGGTCTCCTTAGCGGTAGGAACCCCCCCCCCCCCCAACCCGCACCTTCCCCCCTTCTTCAACCTCGTGCTGCAGTCGCTGCTCATGCTCGTCAAGCAGCTCCCCCCGGAGGTAAGGTGGTTTCCCCAGTGGTCAGAATGCTCCAACACCCCAACCCTCCCCTCGCCCCACCACCACCGCCGCCTCTTCCCCCTCCACCGCCTCTCCAGCCTCGTGCTGCAGTCACTGCTTGTCCTCGTCAAACGGCTTCCCCCTGAGGTAAGAAGGAGCACCCCCTTCCCGGTGGTGAGACCCCCCCTGCCCCTTACCCCCCGCCCCCCTCCACACCTTCCTCCATCCACCGCCTCTCCGGCCTCGTGCTGCAGTCTCTGCTCGTCCTCGTCAAACGGCTCCCCCCTGAGGTGAGCGGGCTTGATTTCAGAAAGAAGAAGCATTCACGTTACGTGCCCTTTGAGCCAACTCGTGCCTGCAGTCTCTCCTGCGACTTGCACAGCTCAGCGTTTGTTTAACGAGGTGACTTTTGCGTCAACTCAAAAGCCTCCTCTCCTTGGTTGGAAGGAATCTCCTGCGATTGGCGCAGCCTGGCTCTTGTTGAACCTCGCCCACACCTCCTCACCCCCTTGTTCTCCGCCCGATTCCCACTGCTTCCCCCTCCAGGGCCACACGCTGTATGTGATCGCCACCACGAGCCTACCTGAGCCTCTGCAGGTTCCAGTCTGCCTTGCCCTGTGTGAGCGGTCTAAAGCATCACCCTCTCTCCCTCTCCACGAACCCCCTTTCAGGACCACAAGCTGTAAGTGATTGCAACCACGAGCCTGCCAGCCGGCCCCAGCCTCTGCAGGCTGTTTTTGAGAATCCTAAAAAACGCTCTGCAGGCAACTCAAGAGGCAATGTCATCTCCCTTTCCCAAACCTCCCCCTCCGCTGTTCTCCAGGGCCACAAGCTGTACGTGATTGCAACCACCAGCCTGCCCGAGCCTCTGCAGGAGGCCATGCATCTGTCGTCGTCCTTCAACACTGTGCTCACTGTGCCCACGCTCTCGCGTGTAGAGACCAAGGCGGTGAGTAGCTTCCTGTCCCTGCACTGTCAGGTGTCAAGACCAACGCGGTGAGTAGTTCACACAGCAAGGATAAGGTTGGTTGTATGGCCTGAAGCCTCTCTCCAGGAGGCCATGCACCTGTCGTCGTCCTTCAACACTGTGCTCACTATGCCCACGCTCCCACACGTGGAGACCAAGACGGTGGGTCTCTTAATGAGAAGGTCAGGACATTGGAGGGTAAGGGTGGTTGCTTGCGCTGAAGCCCCTCTTTTGAGGAGTGCATGTACCCTGTCGTCCTCTTCTTTTTGCAGTGTGTTTTTTATAATTCTCAAAAGCACCCTCTTTTGAGGAGTCCATGCTCCTGTCTTCCTCTTCTTCAACACTGTACTCGCCGTACCCACGCTCTCACGTGTCGAAACCAAGGCGATGAGTGGCTTGATTACCTGAGAGTAAGGGTTGCTGCTTAATTGCAGAGAAAACTCTCCGCAGAAGAGGCCATTGTCGCCCTCATTCAGCACCCACCCTGTCAACACCATTGTGGAAACTAAAGCAGTTTCTTGAGAAGTGTCTCTAAAGCTGACTTGAAGCCTCTGCTGTTCAAGAGGCCATGCACCTGCCGCTCTCCCTAATGCCCCTCTCCTTTTGCCAACTCCACGTTGCATGTGTGATGTCAGGCGCTGAGGGAGCTGGACGTGTTCGAAGCCGACGATCTGGACACTGCCGTGGACGCTCTACACGCCACAGTGGAAGAGGTGAGCTGGCTTTCAAATATACAATGTGTGGGTAACATGACATATGGAGCCCCATACGAAGCTCTGCATTTTCAAGGCAGGTCATGTTCAAAATCACCTCTTCCAACCAACCCTCTCATGGGTATTGACTTTCCTGCACAGGGCCCATAGCTCCCTTGTATCATTCGTCTCCACACCATTCACTTTCCACCCCCCCCCCCCCTCTCCTTCAGATGACCGACCATAAAGAAGCTCCATGTTTATTGAGATAGCCTCTCAGGACGGCGCCACCGCTCCCTTGTATCGTTGACAAAAAAAATCCACCCTCCATCTGCATTCCTCCCATTGCTGCCCCCTCCTCCCCCCACCCCCTCGCCCCATCAAATGACCATCAAGAAGCTCCTGATGTGAATTGAGATGGCCTCACAGACAGATATGTAAAGAAGCTGCAGGATGGCCCTGCAGCTTCCTTATCTTATAGGTGGCCTTATGATTGCTTCATCCTTTTCTCCTTCCCCTTCTCCTCCCCCCTTCCCCCCTCCCCCTTCCCCCCTTCCCCCTTCCCCCCTCCCCCCTCCCCCCTCCCTCCCCCATTTTCCCCATCAAATGACCATCAAGAAGCTTCTCATGTGAATTGAGATGGCCTCTCAGGGCCCCTCTGCTCCCAAGGATTCTCATAATTCGCTTCCCCCCCCCTCTCCCCCGCCCTCAGCCCATCAAATGACCATCAAGAAGCTTCTCATGTTCATTGAGATGGCCTCACAGGGACCCACCACAGCTAGCGTCCCACTCTACCTCCCTTCCCCCCTCTCTGAACCACCCCCCCCAACCCCACCAGATGACCATCAAGAAGCTTCTCATGTTCATTGAGATGGCCTCCCAGGGACCCACCACAGCTCCTGGGCAGCCCAGACCCAAGATCGATATCGGATTCCTCTGCGAATGCCTCAAGGATCTCTCGTAAGTGGGCGGGATGGTGAGAACTGTAGCAGATGTGACTAGCCAGGTCAGCGCAAAGCAGACCCAAGACTGATATCGGATTCCTCTGCAAGTGCCTCAAGGATCTCTCGTAAGGGTTCATACGGCAAGCAGCGGGGAGCAGAGGGGATTATTCAAGTGCGGAACGACCACCATGCGATGTGTCATGCAGTGCAGTTATTGGCCATAAGAACAGCAGGCTATTGCACGCACTGGTAGATTGGAGGAGGCCCATAAACACGATGTGATAGGCGTGACAGGCAGTTTCTCCACACTGGCTGTGCATTGCTTTCTTGCATCCCCAGTCCACCATATACATCCTCTAGCATACCACTGGCTGAATTAAGAACGACACTGTACAAACTTGTGCTTGTTACATACATTTACGAAATGGTTGACTCGACCACCCTAGATGGCTCCTGCTCGCACGTCCTTGGGATGCACAGTAAATACTTTTGGTGTTCCCCCAGTTACAGGCGAAGCTACAGTGTACTGTAGCACCCAGTTGTTGACTGCTGCTCCGTGCTCCCCGAACCTGTTCACCGCCACCAAGCCTCCCTGGAAGTCTGGGAACTTGGCTCGGATGCGACTGATGGCAGCTTCGGCAGCCGAGGCTGGGGAAGAGCCCATTCGCATGAGCTCAACTGCCAGGAAGCTGCGAGGAAGGAGGAGGTTGGGGGGATACCGAGGAGAAAGGGGGGAGAGAGCAGAGCACGAAAGAAGTCTATTTGTGGCTGGAGATTAAGGGAGGGTAGTGAGAGGAGTGGGCCATGACGTCATGTACAGCCATCCTACCTTGATGGAACAAGAAGCTACACTGTAAGCATAGGGTGACGTAAGCATACCATGGCAGGAACCTCATCATGATGTCACCATCCCCTGTTGCCCCACATCCCCCCACGCTTGAGTCCACGTACGCTCCTGCGCCTGGTATGGGTGCATCGCCCACCCTGCAAAAGGGAGAGAGAAATATCGAGTGAGTGAGTGTGAGTGAGAGTGAATGAGTGTGTGAGTGAATGAGTGAGTGAGTGTGTGAGAGTGAATGAGTGTGAGTGAATGAGTGTGTGAGTGAGAGTGAATGAGTGTGAGTGAATGAGTGAATGAGTGAGTGAGTGTGTGAGTGAGAGTGAATGAGTGTGTGAGTGAATGAGTGAGTGAGTGTGTGAGTGAGAGTGAATGAGCGTGTGAGTGAGTGAGTGAGTGAGTGTGTGAGTGAGGGAATGAGATAATCCATGCACGCTCCAGCAGCTGGTATGGTGCATGACCCACCCTGAGAGAGAAATGTAAGGACCACTTAGAGTAGAGTGAGTGAGTGAGTGGGGCGTGAGTGACTGAGAGTGGGCCAGTGATAGAACAGTGAGTGAGTGAGTGAGGATGTGACTGGGTGAGACTCTTTGATTCCACACATCCTCTTCACATGTCACCGCCATACCTTCCGGGAACGTGGAATGCGAGCCCGTTGGTGGACGTAGCAGCAGCCATGGGCCAGTTTGGGGGGAGTTTGGAAAAAGGGATATGAGGGGTGATGGATCTGACAGGGGGGTGATGGCCCTGACAGGGGGATGTTGGCAAGACTCGTGTCATTACCTTCCGGGAACGTGGAATGTGAGCCCGTTGGTAGACGTAGCAGCAGCCATGGCGCCATTCTGATGGCATGAGGGAGGGCATGGGCATGGGGGCATGGGAGGCATGGGGGCATGATGGGAGGCATGGGGGCATGATGGGAGGCATGGGGTATAACTTGGGGGCGGCGGAAATGATTTTTGAGTCGACTCAAAAATATAACTTGGGGGCGGCGGAAGGAAGGTCAGTCACTTGCTTCTTCAGACAGATGGCACAGCAGAGAAGTCTTGGGACAAGGACTGCGGAAAGGGTCTACGCTAGAGGTGAAAGGGAAGCAAGCATGTGAGGAGATGTCAAAATCTTCCAAAGCCCAAGCACCGCTTTCCCCTGATACTCATCCAACCACTCATTCACCTCACCCGTGTGTAATGAGTCCATTTTTGAGTCGACTGGAAAATTGACTCATTACACCCTGATACTCATCCAACCACTCATTCGCCTCACCTGTGCTATGGCAACCATAGAGATGGTATCATGTGTCACCAGCCGATGTTTTTTCTCGAGGAAAGCTTTCTTATTCGTTCGGCGAAGGGACCGCCCCCGGCCCTCCCGTGCCGCAGCAGCTGGCTGCTTGCTTAACGCGTTGACATCCGTAGCACCATGTGGTTCGGCGCCACGTGGTTCGGCACCTTGTGGTTCGGCTCCTTGTGGTTCGGCACCTTGCGGTTCGGCACCTTGTGGTTCGGCACCTTGTGGTTCGGCACCTCGTAGTTCGGCAGCGTGTGGTTTGGCAGCATCTAGTTCAGGACCATTTAGACCGTCAGTATGCACAGTGGCAGGGCGGTAGGGGCCACAGGACCGGGCGGCATCAGGCGTCACGTTGCGCCAATAGTTAGGCTGACAGCTGTCTGCCTTCCACCGGCGCCACATGGCGAGCGAACGATTGGTGGAGAGATCTTCCGGGCCTTCCAGGCCCATGCTTAGAGCGAATTCCGTTGCTGCGTCTCCAACCAGCAGCGAGTGCTGAGTGTGCAAGAGGACAAAGTACGCCGCCCGCACCGCCGCCTTGACTCTGCGCATGCCGGCCACTGCGCCCACGTCCATGGAGTTCTGGGGTGGGGGGGACGGGGGAGAAGGGGGGAAGGGGGGAAGGGGGGGAGGGGGGAAGAGGGGGTGTCCAGTTGTCTGGGTTTGGGTACACACCGGCATGATCCACAGCAACTCTCATTTTTAAGGCGCCTCAAAAACAGCACCTCTCATTTTATCCATAACCATATCGTCATCACAGCATCTCACTCATCCCATCCATGACCGTGACATCATCCCACTCAACCCATTTATGACCATGACGTCAGCCCACCTCATCCCATCCACGACCATGACGTCATCCCACTCAACCCATTTATGACTCATCCCATCCATGACCATGACGTCAGCCCACCTCATCCCATCCATGACCATGACGTCAGCCCACCTCATACCATCCATGACCATGACGTCAGCCCACCTCATCCCATCCATGACCATGACGTCATCCCACAACCCATTTATGACCATGACGTCATCCCACTCACCCCATCCATAACCATGGCGTCGAGGGTCGTCTCCCCGTTCTCGTCCGGGCTCCCACCGTACCCCACTGCATGGGGGTGGGGGCGGGGGGGAAGGGGAAGGCGGGGGGGGGAGAGAAGGGTCGAGGCATCAGGCCTTGAGGGTATGGCATCGAGTGTTGTCTCCCCGTTCTCACCTTGGACTCCCCCCATACCCCACTGCATGGGGGAGGGGGCGGGGGGAAGAACAAAAAGGCGGGGGGAAGCAGGGGATGGGGGGGAAGGGGAAGGTGGGGAGGTTGGGGAGGAGGTGAGGGGAAAGGGTATGGGGTAAAGGGATGAGATAAGGGGGGCGGTGGGGGGGAGGAGAGGGGGGGGGGGGTGTGGAAGGGAAGGGGGGTGGGGGGTGGAGGGGTGGTGGTGATAGGGGAAGGGGGGGGGGATAAGCTATCAGCTGGACGAGATATGAGCTACTGGTTGTGGAAGAAGTTGAACTTGTAGATTAGTATGCAAGGTCAAGCTGACGTGGGATGTTGCTGAGGTGGCACCTGATCCATCGCACTGGAGCACCTCGCAAGCGTTGCATCCTTCCACCACCGCATCCAACGCGGACCCGCCACGTGTCAGCACCTCCCAGGCCTGGCTGTTGGCTTCTAAGAACGGCCAAACGTTCACCACCATCGGCCATTGCTCTCCAACCGAATCAACGGCTGAGATTCGTTCTCGACCTTCTCTTAACGAGGACGCACATGAGGGGAGAACAGATACAACGCACAGTATCAAACCCAATAAAAAGCGAATTTTAGGAGCCTTTCCAGCATGGCGCGTTGATCTGAGCGAACTCGGCGGTCTAGCTGGCCGATCAAGCGCCATTCTCCCGAGGATGTCGCGGCTGTGTCAATCTGCACCTGGAATTGCGCGGTTTGGATGGTGAGTTGAGCAAATTAGGTAGCAAATTAGGTGACTAATTATGAAGGTAAATGTGTGGAATTAGGTCCCACGAAATTTGCGAAGCTTGCGGACAGTGTTGCTCCACCGAAAACTCAAAACTGGCAGAGAGTCCCCTCGACACAAACCAGGTTTTGCTCCAGAGTTACCCAGCGAAATTCGCCCAAATTCCTCGCGAGCCACACTCTCTGAGCTCGTCAGCCAATCACGTAACATCCGTTGTAAGCCCGTCATGTTGATCATTGGGGATGCATTCTGATTGCAACCCCTTTTTCATGAAAATTCGCAAGAGGTCCGGTTTCAAGTTGTTAAAAATACGCTTCTGTGTCAGTTTGGTTGGCGTTTGGCTTGACTATGCAGTAGCCGCCAAGGCTATTGCGAGAAGTATTACGCTTCGTGTACCTGGTTCAGAGCTCAAGCCGAGAAACTGCCTTTCAAAATTCCCCCCCGGTTTGGGCAAGTAATTACTTTTATGTACACTCAGGTATTAGGTTGTTGATAACTCCGCCCTCCGTAACTTCAGTAGTAAGGTAGACATGCCAGCAGCGTTCTCGTCTTGATCAGCTCGTCACTCGCACCTGCATTCTCCTAGTACTTCGATCGTATCGCATGAGCGCTGGGAACGTTAGCGTACTCTCATGTTTTCTTTGCCTGGCTCTCTCTATAAGGCCTGCTTCCGCCTCTCGCTCGAAATTGACGAATTTGTGGGCGAGTCTGAGAAGATGGGGCTAACGATGAGGTATTTCAGCCGCGTGTCTTCTATTTCCGTGCTCTTAGTTATTCCAAATGCCCCCATAGTATGGTCGTGACCATGAATCTCCATCCGCTAATAGCGAGATTGTTCGTGGCGTTTCTTTTTTCCTTTCAGTCAGCGTTTACTGACGGCCGTCCGCTTCGTTCAGGCAACCGACACTTCCTGACGAGATTCGATTTAGCGCGCTTTGACCTCCTATTCCCTCTGGTAGGGCTATTAGTGGCTGAATATATTATTTTAAGCATATTTTCTTGATCAACATGTTGGCGTCACGTAGAGCAGTCTAACTCATTGCGCATTCATTACTTTCATGCAGGATCGTCAGTCAAGCCGCAAGCAAGTCGCTCCAGGCGCAGGAAACGTCTATTACAAACAGGTAAGCATTCACTGGAAAACGGGATCATGAGCACCTCTGCATTTCTAAAACTTATGAGTGACATTAGAAATTCTTCCTTGACGCGGCTCTCTCCCGCCTTTCAGTTGGGCAATGCAGGAAGCATCAACAATCAGGGAGCGCTAAACAACCAAGCAGCTCGAGCCGTGAAGGACGGACCAGGGCTCGGGGACGCCAACGTGCGACAGCAGAACTCTCAGACGCAAACAGCAGCTTCAAACCCTGTCACAACCACAGTTCAGGTCGACGCTGCTACTTCGACAAACAGCTACACAGGTTCAACTTCAGGCCTCCCAGCTGCCGCTGTTATCGCACCAGGGGTGGGATTTAGTGGTCTTGGTCTGGGAGCGCTAGTCACAACCCTTCCTGGTCCAGATCCTCTCACGAGTGGGCTGGTACGGCAAGGAACAGACCCTAGGTGTCATAGGGATCTAAGTACAGGAGGCGCTTGTGATGATGGTGCATCTATCTTCACGTCCAGAGTTCCTATTGTGACAATCTCCTCTCTTGGTTGAAAGTAGACACCCTGATTGTAGACTCTCTACGGATGTCATGCTGACTGCTATTCATTTGAACTCCCTGTATCATGAGGTCTCTCGCGATACTCTGATGTTCCCACGCTCCCTAATAGCCGGCACATCCAGAAGTGCCGTTCGCGTCTGGCTTCACAACGGAGGTTAAACGACAGGTATGGAAACTAGAATACACTAATTTAACTGCTTGCTGGTTTTTGGTCTAATGTAACAGTACTACATTTCCCCGAATGTTTGAAAGTCGCAGGTAGCTTTTCACACCTTCTTGTGCGGGCTGTGCGAGTCGACAGCGACACACGAACAGTCGTCACCAATCATCATCGCTTGTGCGACGTCAAGTTCTGGCACGTCTCTGACAACAAAGGTGCCGCCGCAAATTCACTCGCTTTACGCACAGGCCTGCGTCTCGCTCGAACCTTGACAGTATCCGGGCAGCGTCTGGTCTAGATCCAGGCCACATGTGAACTCGAAAAATCGGCGGGATTCGTTTCCACGCTGCCCCGGTCTGGTGCTCCCTCACTCCTTCCCCAGAACATTGCACCTCCATTATCGAGGGGTTCACTTCTGTTTCTGTCGCACACACACACTTGCGCCTCGACTTATGGTGCACCCCCCGTCCCCACCACCCCCCCCCCGCCCAGCCAACAGCAGAACCAGCCGCCTCAGTTGGCAGATTCCCACGCGCCTCCCCTGTCACCTCCGTCCCCCCTGCCTCCGCCCGTTAGGACCCTACCCAAACAACGCGCTGATTTCAGCCACTGATCTGTGGAGAATTATGAAAAAAAAAAAAAAAAAAAAAAAAAAAAAAAAAACTCCATCTTGTCCGTTCATCGTGTCTGCTGACGATCAGATCCGACACCCATCCCGCTCACATCTCAACAGGCGCGGAACAGAACCCCATCCCTAGAAAATACCCATTCACAGAATATGCCTTACCTTCCTGAACCGAACCCAACCGAAGCATGTAGACTATTGCCAGCCTACCTCGGATTATGTCCCTCGGATTTTGCTCCATTGGTCAAAATCTCCCTGGCACACCCTTCCTCCTCGTTCCAGCCACTTTCCTCGCCTAACCAGCGACGCGCTTGCCACCTCGGCAAGCAGCCGCAGCGCAAGAACGAATCGCGTTTCCACTTGACTCTCGTTCCTTCGACCACCTCGTCTCTAGTACCTACGCACGCAGCTGCCGGCGCGTCCCTCGATTTTGTCACTGTCGCTTCGCCAGCCCTTGAGGCAAGGAGAGATCAGTACGAGCCGAGTTACGGGTCGCGAATAGCCATTGTCCTTGCTTACGGAAGGGAACAGACGCATCGCCTCCAGCCCAGCCCTTCCTGCTGGCCAGCTAGGCTAGCTTCGCGAGACGGCCTGGATTCTCCCTCGTCCTCTTCTCCCTCTCATTTAGGGTAATACTATTCAACGGGTGGTTCTTGTTTCTAGGGTAGACGAACCCGACGTAAGTAGGCTCCCGAGGGCCGGAGCCATGGCGCGGGAATCTCGGCGCAATACGCGCTGGTTGCAACGCGGCTAACCGCATCGTATGCAGCGCAAAGCTAACTAGTACGCTGATTGTGAGCTAGCACGTGGAGCTAACAGGTTCTAAGAACGCGAGGTTCTAAGAACGCTTGTATGACAAGTAGGGTCGTGGGAGCTGCTCGTGCGTTGATGATCCGTGTCCGCCGCGTGTCAGGTCGTAGTGGAAGCGGCTCGGCCTCCGACTCCGATCAGGCGAACATTAACGAATCGTCGCAGCCGTCGCACGGCGGCATGCGATCAGGCAGCGCTCTAAAACGAAGCCAAATGGACGCGTACTCGCACCTCCATAGTATACAGCACTTAGGTCTTTTTAGGTGGCTCATGCTGCATCTAGCGTTCATACTACCCGTGGCAGTTCATTTCTTTGCATGCTCAGCCGCCATGTTCTTCGGCCTCCGTCTCGCGCGGGAGATTCTCGTCCTCCATCCCGGCTCCAGTATAGGCTCGTTTCGCCCCGATTTGGCCCGATTCGATATTGTAGCAAGCGGCGATCAACTCGCGTTTCCAGACCGGCTCTTGATGGCTAATCCGGATCTTTCGCAGGCGATTTCGCGTTACGATGCGCCTAAGCCTGTGCGACACGATTATCACGATCCCTTGGCTTGCGAGTGGGACCTGGCATTACGCTGGAATTTCACGTCTGACGGACCGTTAAAAGTGCCGGCGGGAGATGACGGCGAGCACGACGAAGATGCCGGCGTGAAAATCGGCCGTCACGAGATCCTCATCCGGCCGAACGCTTATCCAGATCCACGTCAGCTGGTCGTCAGCCAATCGCTGCTGAGACTGTTACAGGAGAACGAACGGCTGAGATTGCTCGCTAAGGAGGACGGACGCCTCTCGTCGCTCCCGCCTCGCCGCGTTATAGTCATCACGCCGACCTACAAACGAACGTTCCAACAGCTGCACACGCTAGGGTTGATCAACTCGCTGAAGCGAATCCAGGCGCCGCTGCTGTGGGTGGTGGTTGAAGCGACGAAGACGGAGGAAACCGCACGCCTTATTGGGAAGGCTTCTATCGGGGACAGCGGGTCGGAGAATCCCGAGGTGGAGATCGCGCATTTGGGTGTGGAGGAGGAAATGCCCGAGGATTGGGACGAGCGGGTTCTTCTGGAGCAACGGATGCGAGTCGTCGGTCTAAGGTGGGTGTTGCAGTGGAGTGACGTTCGTAGATTTTTATTTTTATTTTTTGTGTGTAAGGCACCGTTGATTGGAGGATTGGGACGAGCGGGTTCTGCTGGAGCAACGGATGCGAGTTGTGGGGCTCAGGTGGGTGTTATTGCCAGGATTACTTGTTAGTTTGCTTGCTTGTTCTTTTCTTGTATGCATTCTGAACTCCAAACCTCTCCCGAACCTCTCAGGTACGTTCGGGAGCGCCTGCTCGACGGCCTCGTGGTGTTCGCGGACGACGGCTCGGTGTTCTCCCCGAGCTTCTTCGCCGAGGCTCAGCGCGTGCGGTGGTTCGGCGCAGGCTCGGTGGGCGTGCTGCTGCCGGGTGGGTTCACCCAGCTTATGGGCTCGGAAGGGCAGGCGGAGGAGCAAGGGGAGGGGGTTGGGAAGAGCAAGGGTCAGAGGGAGAAGCAGAGGCAGAGACATAAGCACCGGCACGGGCATGGCAAGAGTGTGAGTGATGTGGAGGGAGGGTCCGGTGGTGGGGAGAGAGGAGGGGAGAGAGGAGCGGATATGGGCCAATTGACCCTGCAAGGGCAACCAGGAGAGGGGGGGTTGGGGAAACGGGAGGAGCAACGGGAGCAGCTGCAACTGCTGCTGCAGCAGAAGCTGCTGCTGCAAAAACGGTTGCGACAGCAGCAGGAGCAGCAGGAGAAGCAGGGGAAGCAAGACGAGGGGGAGGATGAGGAGGAAGATGAGGATGAGAGGAGACGACTGCGGTTACTCAGGCGCAGGCTGTTACAAACCAGCAGCCAATCAGCACCGTCCAAAGTGTTGACAGTGGGCAAGCAGATGCGCTACCAGATGCCTGTACAGGGCCCTGTGTGTAATAACGAGTCTGCTCTTATCGGGTGGCATGCGGTGGTACACCACCCGGATCGCCTCCTTTCTGGGTTACCAAGTTACAACTCCCTAGGCTCGGGGGAGGAGCAACGGAGGGGCATGTTATGGCACGGGTATGTCTTTAACTCGCGGATATTATGGGCTAGGAAGGAGGAGCTTCCTGATTGGCTGCGAGGCTGGGACGAATGGGGCGCTGAGCTGGAAAGAGGCCTGGAAGGAGGCTTGGATGGTGGCTCGGAAGGAGGCTTGATAGGAGGTTCGGAAGATGGTTCGGAAGGAGGTTCGGAGGCAGGCTTGGAAGGGCGGTTGTTTGACCTGCTGGGGGCGGTGGTGCAGGACGAGCGGCACGTGCAGCTGCTGGGGCAGTGCGGGCGGCACGTGCTCGTGTGGTGGTGGAGGGCTGAGGCGCGCCAGGACAGCAAGTTCCCTTCAGAGTGAGTGGTTTGGATCTTGATCTCTGTCTTGGTCTTGGCGTGTCCTGGTCTTGGTCTTGGCGTGTCTTGGTGTGTGGTACTCACAGAGGCGATGGAACAGTGGGAGGCACGTGCTCGTGTGGTGCTGGAGGGCTGAGGCGCGCCAGGACAGAAAGTTCCCTTCAGAGTGAGTGGTCTGGATCTTGGTCTTGGTCTTGGCATGTCTCAGTGATTTTTGAGATTTATCCGCATTCCGTTATCCTGCTGCAGAATACTCATCCACCCCCCTTGCCCTCCCTCTTCCCCTCCCTCTTCTTTCCCCTGCATCTCCATTTGCTCCCCCCCCACTATCCCCCCATGGTTAGGTAGGTTAGTTTTGAGATGTCAAAACTCTCCCCTGTACCTCCATTTCCTCCCCCCCACTCCCCCCCACTCCCCCCCGCAACCTTTGTCCTATACCTGCATTTAGGTGGGGCATCTCACCGCCCATCGCAGTCCAAGCCAAGTCAACCCCCTGCCTCCATATGTCCTCACTTCCTGTTCTCCCCCCCCTCTCCCTCCCCTCCCCGCCCCCCTACAACACCCCCCCACCCCTCTCTTCCCCTATCTACTGCACTTTCTTGCAGGTGGGTCATCTCACCTCAATTGCCCATCACAGTCCGAGCCAAGTCAACCCCCTGGCCGGACCCCATGCCACCTCCCCCTCCTAGCCCACCCTCCCCCCCACCCCCACCGCCCCCTCGCAAAGGCAAGAAGGGCGGTGGAAAGAAAAAGGGAAGGAAGCACAAGAACAGTAAACCTTGATACAGTGCACATGTGGTATACCTACCTTCATTGTGTTTCTTTCTTTGTTTTCGTCTTTTATTCTAGGCTTTCTTTTTAGGCTTCGAGATGAGATACAGTGCAGTGAGTCTGATGTTAGAATAGCAGAATGACTAGAAATGTGTGAGAACAAGGGAGATATAGGGTTGGAGTTGTACCTACTAAGAACACAAACATATCCAGCCTACAACTTCCATATACAAATATATGTATAAGTTGACACACCCCCTAGGCTAGATAAGGGGCAGTGCTGAGCAAGAAACACAGCTCAGAATGGTACTAGTAGTCCTACCTCTGAGGTAGGAGCAAACTAGGGCGGCACTACTAGTCCAGCCACTGGAGGCGAAGCCACAAGGCTAGTCAGAAAGGTATACATAAATAGTATACAATCAAGGTCCTAGCAAGTGAGTAGCTACAGGAACTAGACCAAGTTGCAAACAGTACCATTGATGATCTTTAGGCGCGAAGATATTAATTGTGTTGGCACTGGAGGCCAAGTGTACTACGCGGGCCTGGCAACGCTGCTCTAGCTTGCGCACGAGGAAGTACCGCAGTTGGATGTGCTTTGCTCTGCCCTCAAATCGAGGCTCCTGACACAGGAGGATCATGACCCTGTTGTCAGCATACAGAACCAAGGCAGAGCTAGACCGCTCAAGAAGGTCAGCCAGCGGAGCTCCTGTGCCGCCATGGCACCGGCATAGATCTCAGCCTCACAGCTAGACTGAGCAACAGACGAGAAGCGAGTGGACCTCCACGAGATGGCACCAGAACCAAGGCTAAAGCAGTAGCCCTAGGAGGACCTGAGGGTCTCAACGTCGTCTGCCCAATAATCGTCTGTGTGCCTAGTAAGGACCACTGGTCTGCGTCCTCCCAACACTAACCCCATGCCCGATGTACTTGCTAGATAACGCAAAACCCTCTTAGCGGCTGACCAGTGCTGTGGTCGGTGTCTGCCTGTGGCCACAAAGCGAGCCAGGATGCTGAGAGAGTATGCGAGATCTGGACGAGTGCAAGTCATCAGGTGTGCGGAGGAGAACTGAAGACCGAACCTCTGAAGGACTTGGCGCACCAAATGTGACTGTGTGAGACTGGTGGTGCGCGCTGCTCTGTCCCTGGAGATCTGCAGGCCAAGGTAGCGACGCAACTCTCCTAGATCAGTGCAGGTGTGTCTCCTTAGCAGCTCGGCCTTCACTGAGGCCAGTGCGTCTCTGTCTGCAAGAGCGAAGACCAGGTCGTCTACGTAGACAAGGATGTAGAACGGATTCTGGCCAGCACGAACGAAGAGCGAGGGGTCTGCAGAGCACGGAAAGAAATGTAGGTCAGCTAGCATAGCATACAGCATGTCGTGCCACTCATGAGGCACCCGTCACATGCCGTAGACCAAGCGCCGGAGGAGCCACTGGGTCCCAGGAGGGAAGGTACTGGCGCAGGTAGACCTTCTTGTGTAGGCTGCCCTGAAGAAAACCAATAGAGAATTCAAGGGAGTGGAGCTCGTAGTCACGCTGAGCTGCTACGTGTAGCAGCGCCCGAAGAGTAGTCATCTTTGGGGTCGGGGCGAAGGTCTGAAAGAAATCCACCCCCTCGCGCTGACTGAAGCCTCTAGCCACGTAACACGCCTTGAACACAGGCGGCTCTCCAGGAGGGCGCTTCACCTTGAAGAGCCACCGACCATCGACTACGTTCACCCCAGGTGGGGGAACTGCGTCGATGTAGGTGCCGGTGGATCTCCAAGATGCCATCTCTTGCTCCATGTCAGCTATCCACTGAGAGGCCCAGGGTCTCGAGGTCGCCTCAGCGTAAGTGCGAGGGGTCGGGATGTCAAATGCGTCTGGGTCATCCTCACTAACTAGCAACACGGAGCAGAGATGGGGAGCAGGATCAGACAGGAAAGCAAACTCGTACTGCCTGTCCTCTAGGACATCATTGCCAAGGGCAGGAGCACCCCCGACGAGCGGAGGACGGACAGGGTCAGAGACCAGAGCGATGGCATAGTCAAGGCGGCGGGTAGAGGCAAAGTCAGCGATAGCAGCGACAAGAGAGTCAAGTCTCGAGACAGGAACAGACGAGTCGGTAACGAGAGAGGCAATGACACGAGGAAGAAGAGGGCGAGCGGCACGAAGGTAGTCAGACAGAGGGTGAGGATGATGGGAGGAGGCGACGGGAGGAGGGGAGGACGAGACGCGTGGAAACAAAGCAGCATAGGGTGAGAAAGCTGAACAGGAGAGACAGGACGAGCACGAGAGGGACGGCGAGACCAGATGTGAGACGGAGGCGTCTGGTCCGGAGACAGAGGAGGAGACACAAGAGGGGAACGAGGGGAAAGACGAGCTGGAGACGAGTCTGGTGGAGGGAACACAGGGCCGTAGACAGGAAGAGGGGGAGGGGGCAGGGGAGGTGCAGGCGAGCGGTCAGGGCAGGGAAGGCCGAGCAGGCGAAGGGCGGATACCGGCGGCGACTGCTGCTGCTGCTCGACGCTGACACCTGGACCGCCAGCTGCATCCCGGCTACCATCGGAACACTCCACTGCAGCACCCCCAGAACGAGCACCCCCAGAGCGAGAAATCTCTCCAGCACCGGTGCCACCCCCAAGCCCGCCAGGACAAGCCATGAAAGGAACCCCATGACAAGCACCCTCCTCAATGCCAGCACCCCCAGAGTCGACGAATAGCTGCTGCGGCTGCGACGACGGCTGTTGCGGCGACGACTGCAACGGTGGAGGAGGAGACATCGGGGGAGAGGCAGGTGGCTAGAACTGTGTTGCACAGCCACCAGAGTCAGCCGACTCCTCGACCGGGACAACCGATGGGAGGGGAGTGACGTGAGACACACCAGACGGAGCAGTACGCGGAGGAAGGAGAGCAGGGGCTACTAAGGGAGGGGGAGCCAAAAACGGGGGTGGGGAAACCGAGAGACCTCGGTGGGGAAAGCGGTGGTATAAGGATACATACTCGTCGAAAGTGGCATCACGAGAGTGAAAGAAGCGGTGAAACGGCGGGTGGTAAAAGTGCTAGTCTGACGAGATAATGGGGAAACCGAGGAAGACACAGGGGACAGTGCGGGCAGTGAGCATGTATGTGCCAGAGGGAGAAACGTGAGGGAGGCAGCCCCAGACGTGGAATGCGTTCGCGTCACCAGGGAACTCGGTCCATAGAAGGGTCGGCTAAACCTACAGCTGTTGGGAGCGCGGCCAGAGGTTAAGCTGGTGAGCAGTGTAGCGAACGCCGAATGACCACAGAAAATGGGGTGCACCAGCATGGATCATGGAGGTACGAGCCACCTCCATGACCAAACCGATGCGTCGCTCAGCAACCCCATTCTCTTGTGGGGAGTCTGGTAGGGTGTACGACTGGGTGATGCCCTCCGCACGACAGAACTGTCCAAGCCGACCAGAGGCGAACTCGCCGCCACGGTCAGAGTGGAGACACAGCACAGGGAGACCGCGGCGGAGACGCACAGCTACGACCCACGAGATAAGAACGTCAAGTACGTCAGCCTTCCACTCCAGGGGAAACACCGTGGTGTAGTGCGTGTAGTCGTCGATGAGCACAAGAAAGTAGCGCTCGCGACGCGGTCCGGGGATGGGGGCTGGGCCCCAGACGTCCAGGTGCAGGGTCTGAAGGGGTGCGGTGGCAGGGCGAAGCGAGGAGGAGTGAGGAGCATGGTGCAGCCAGCTCTCGACGCAGGGCGTGCACGGCGGCGCAGGCGAGGGAGGGAGGGCAGGAAGCGACGCAAGGAGACCAAGGACGAGAACGTGCTGAGACATGTGACGCAGACGCGGGAGTGAGAGGTGACCTAGGCAGTGATGCTACAGAAGCGACGGGTGAGTGAGCGACCGACACGAGCAAACCGCAGCGACCTGGGTAGACGCAGGGCCCAGGGAGGACGCACCAACCGGGAGGTAAGCAGTGTCTAGCGTAAACATGCCAGACACCGGGTCCCGGGGGAACGTCGCAAGGGGGGCGCCTGAGGCGGCCTCGGTACAGACAGCGTACCGCTCGTGACCAGGGAACGTAGTGGTGACGTCGAGGTCCTGAAGACAGCCGACACCAGCTAAGTGCATGGAGAACGAAGGGATGTGCAGGCCTGTAAGGGAACCCAAGGGGACCGCTGGACAGGGAAGGGTAGTGTAGCTGCGAGCAACGACAAGAGCAGAAGAGGGGACAGCAAGTGCAACAGCGGCAAGCGCGGCAAGTGGCGTGAGTGTGGCGTGGTTGTGGAAGAAGCAGACAAACGCATCGGAGTCAAGTGTGAAGGACAGCGAAGCAGTAGCGGCAGAAGAAGGAGGAGCGAGTGTGGAGCCTAGGCTAGACAAAGCAAACGATCCTACGCCTGACGCAGCAAGGGAATCTGCACTACACACATGTGCTACGCCTAAGCTAGAGAATACAGGGTAATAAGATCCGGACACACTAGAAGCGTCAGCGTACAGAGTATGCAGGGCAGAAATAATCTGATCCATGTCTAACTCAAAGTCAGGCACACCGTGGCACAGTAGACTGGGCCAGAAAGGGAGGTCCGGGGCCGGGCTGAAGCGGCGACGAAAAAGGTCATAAAGGTGGCAAAAGCAGCGGCGGTCGGGTGCGGGCACCGGCACAAAAGTGCCACGGAGGGGCCCGGTCTGGAGCTGGTATTGGCAGCTCACAGCACCGAAGCTGCTGGTAGACGCCGAGCTGCTAAAGCCGCCACCGCGGCCACCACCTCTAGAGGCTCCTGGCCACCCCCACGGGAGGCGGGCCCACGGCTGCTGCTACAGCTGCTGTTTCTGTGACTGCTGCTGCGGCATGTGCTGCGGCTGCTGCTTCTCCTGGACACCAGCCCCAACCCCCTTGTCAGAACCACTGTCCCAGGCACCACCACTACCATCACCAGCACCACCACCACGCCCTCCCTTGGGGCCGCGACGACCTCGACGCTGTTGCTGCTGCGGGAAGACCGCAGCTGCTGTCTGAGCGGATGGGGCAGCCATGGCGATCGCGGTGGAAACGTTAGCGTCCGTGAACTAGGAGGGAGCATAGCCATGAAAGATAGGGACTGCCGCAACACCGCTCGACTAATCGATTGTGTACTGGCGAGTCTCTATCTCAGACAGGGCAGTGACAAAGGCGGTCAGGGTGAGGTCCCTAGGGTGCTGGCTAAGTAAATGGTCGCGCGCAGTGGCTAAGCGGTCAGGCAGGTGCATGGCAATAAGGTACAGGATAGCGCAAATT